ACATTAATATCAGGTTCCACAGGAAGCCATGTGTCCAGCAAAGGGGGTTGAGTGGCCCCACTACCATTTTTTCCCAGCATAGTGGCCTCTGTTCCCCTGGGCTCTTTGAGTTACCTTCTGCAGGGCCTATGACAAGCCAGAGCCACCTCCCTGCATGGACCTCAAGATCCTGTCTTTTTGACACAACAGATGCTTGAAATTCTCCAGGGCTCTGTCCTAGGAGCTGTGTGGCTCCGAGTTTCCCGACTCACCATTGCCTTCTGCTTCTCTCTTAGAAGGTAGAGAGTGGAATTTGTAAACCCGCACTGAGCCTGGACCAGGGCTGCTGTGTGGACGAGGCGGCTGAGAACCAGAGGAGGGCAATGCTTGGCAGCAGCTCCACCCACCCTCCTGCTCTGTGCAAGGCCTGGACATAGGTTGTCTTCACAAAGTCAGGGTGAATCTGTGAAAGTCAGTGGCTGGCTCGGTTCCCTGTAGAGCCCACCCCCTTTGTACCTTTATCCTCATATCATTTCCCTTCTGGTGGCTTTGAACATAGAACAGTTCTTAAATGGGCAGCTGCTTTGCAGTGAGGTAGGTTTTAGGGTGATTGGTGCTTTAGGTGAGTCAGGCAAATCTCTCTAGATGTAGTCTCTGCACACCCCAGATTGGCATGGGCTCCCTCAGGGACACAGAGGGGTGCAGCCCATATCTTGCTTTGTTTTCTGAGTGTGCTTCTTCTGTTGGAAGGGTCAGATTTCACTTTCCTGTGATCCTCTATTGAGAACTGTCTGCCAGGTTTAAATTATTATCCCACTCCCATACCCTTTGCACTGCAACCAGTGAGTCTACACCCCCTCTCAGGCTTGTGCCCAGCAGAATTTGGGCTTGTTGCCTGTTACAATTTATATGTAGATATCCCCTGATGACTTTGGGAAGTGAAGCCTGGATGGAGAAGGTGGGTCATTGGAGACGTGGCCAGGAAGGGTCTGTCTCCCTCCTCCTCCCTTGATCTCCTGCTTCCTGCTGCCACACCATGAGCCATTTCTCCTCTGCCATGCTGCTTTGCTTTGGAGCCAGCTGACTATGGACTGAAGCCTTTACACTCTGTGAGCCAAAATAAATCTCTCCTCATTTAAGTTGTGGGTGTTTAGTATTTTGTCTCAATAACAAGGAAAGTAACTAAGACTAAGCTTGTTCTCTTCCGGCATGTTCTCCCTTGGGCCTTCTTGGGCACTCTAGGGATTCAGCCTGATTTCTCCTGCGGCTTTGTTCCCCTAGACTTGGAGACCTTTATGGGAGTCTGCTTTCTCTGGCTGCCTCTTGGCTTCTCTCTGCTCCTGAACCTGAGGGCTGCGTTAGCCTTGAAAGGTGGAGCTTATCAGAGGAACTGCCTGTGAGAGGGCTGTGGATTCTGGAAGGCTGGAGGGTAGGAAAGAGTGCTGGGATCAGGGCCAAGTTCTGGCCTCCAATCCTCCAATCCTGGTTCTGAGACTGTTGGACACAGTGGGTCCAGAGCAAGTCAGCTTCCATCTCAAGGGTCACTGTTCTGGCTACCAAATAAGGAGTTGGAAAAGATGACCTCAGTGACCTCGAGTGTCGTGCATTTGATGGAGTGGGCTGATGGGGAAGACAGAGGGGACAGGAATGGCCAAGGGTCTCTCCTCTAGATCTGAATTCACCTTCATCCATGAACCTAGGGCTAAGCTGGGGAGACTGGATATTGGTCTGCAGGGTTTGGTCTTTGCTGTAACAGCAGAGGAGCTCCAGGCACTGTTGGAAGTGCTGTAAGGGAAGCTCCAGGGAGCTGTAGGAGTTTGCAGACTCCTCAATTGCAAGTCAGTCTGCATACCAGGCCTCACCTCTCCTCTTCAGCTCCAGCCTCAGCCTTGTGCATCCCTGTCTGAGCCACTGGGCTGGAAGCCCCTATGGACAGGCATCTGGGGGTTCACAATCCACGTCCCTCATGCAGGGCCCCACGTAGGTGCCTGGTGAGTGTCTGCCAGAGGGGATTCCTAACCATTTGTGTTGGGAAACTTATTGATTTGTGTTAGGGCCATTGTCAGGTGATAGGTGTTGTGCAGAGCAGTGGTTTCCAGGTCTTTAGAAATCCAACCATGTTTGGGCCAGAGCTGGCTTTGCGCTTGTAGTAGTTTCAGAAAAAAAAAAAAAAAAAAATGCTTTGTGCTAAACATAGCATTGTTGGGTTGTTGAGATCTGATCTGTGACTGCTGGCTTTGTTTGTTTCAAACCTCCCTCTTCTACCATACTGTGGAGCAGGTAGTTTATACAGGAGGTGTCTCAGCTGTAGTGAATGCCAAGGTGGTAATTGCAAGGACCTTGAGTTAATAATGCTGTGGATTCTCACAGAGCCTTTCATTGGAGAACCTCCTGACCCGCCGGCATTATCTGATACCAGCCTGGGGAGTACAGTAGTCCCTATCATTAGCTCTACCTCCCAGCCTCGGATACTGTGGGCCTGAGAGAGAGGAGGGCAGTTAGGGCTGGAACTGGAACAGGCCTCTTGGGCCCCAAGACCTGCATCCTGGCCTGGACAGCAGGAGGGATTTTAGTGGGTTAGGGCTGGGCCAGGGTTCGCTGGACTGTGAATAGCTTCCACCTGTAGTTTGTACTCACAGTGTGAGGATCAAGGGATCGCTGGGTCACAGTGTTTGAGGGAACTCATGGCTCGTAACTCTGCAGTGCTTTCAGCACAGCTCTCTAATCTAGCTGGTGCCAGCCGCGTGGTGGGGAGCTCACTCCTGCACAAGGCAGCCCAGAGCTGTCACCACGTGAGGCTGTGGTCAGTGTTGGTAGAGGTGTAAGACAATGGCACTCAGACACCCTGCTGGAGGAGGGGTCGGCGCGGGGTGATTTCTGGTGATATCTACTGGAACTCAGACTTACATATCCACCAGCTCAGCAATCTTCATTCCAGATCACTCGCAGAGGTAAAAGCTCACAGAGGGTTCATGGAGGCTGGCACCCCAGCAGTGCAGAAAATAGGAAACTCCTACTCAGAGTTATGAGCCACGGAGCTTCCCTTCTTTTCATTCTGTCAACCCTGCCTGCCCTCGCTCCACCCAGTAGCAGAGCACAAACCTCAGCCAGCAGCCCACTGAACACTAGGGATGACAAATGTTAGAAGAACTTTGGATTTCAGATCTAGAGGAGAGAGCCCAGAGCCGGCAGAACCCCATCTGGTCAATGAAAGTCACCAAGGGACCCCTTTTGTTTCCATGTAAGATGGAGCATTGAACAACCAGCAATTGCAGAAGAGAAAGGGCTTGCGCCGCAGGAGGCAGGCTCTCTCCCTGGAGGTGACGGCGGAGGGAGGTGACGGCGGAGGGAGGTGACGGTGGAGGGAGGTGACTATGAGATAGGGCTGTCACAGCTGAGCAGGTGCAAGTGTGTGGCCCTGCTTCGCTGGCCTGCCCCGCACGCATCCCCTGGGTAGATGGAGTTCAGTAGCCTCTCAAGGCTCTAGGCAGAGTCTGCTGGACAGAGAGGGAATCCCCCCACCCCCCTGGAATGGAGCCCAGGGCTTGGTGTGCTAGGCAGGTGCTTTTGCTGAGCCACACCCTCAGAGAACTGAGAGAACTTTCGATGTGTCACTGAGGAAGAAGAGTGGCCTCCCTCTGTCCCTGCTGGAGGCCTTGGGTGTCCATGGGTATGATTTAAAGTCTTGTTTTGTTTTGTTTCTTTTCTCTAAATAAAAGCAGGAAAAAGCCTTGCCCAGCCCTCCATTCTTCACCTCCTTTCCAGCCTTGCTGCTTCTCCTGCCTTTGCATTTTTCCTTCCTCTCTTCATGTTTCTTGTTCCCCCCTTTCCTTTCCTACTGCTTTTTCTTTCTCTCTTCTTCTTTTCCTCCTCTTTCTTTGTTTTATTTTTCTTTATTTTGATTATAGAAGTGCATTATTCATAAATTATGCATATTGTTAGACTAGCAAGAACTGGATGTAGTGGTACATGCGTGCGATCTCAGCTACTCAGGAGGCTGAAGCAGGAGATTGCAAGTTTGAGGCCAGCCTTGGCAACTAAGTGAGACTTCACATCAAAAAGAATGGCTGGGTAGAGGGCTGGAGAGATGTATCTCAGTGCTCCCTGTGGTCAATCTCTACTACCACAGAAACAAAAAACAAAAACTATCACCACACCCCCCCAAATAATATCACAAGAACAGCCACAGATTGGAATTTCTCTTGGCTACCTCCTTAAAATTCCCAGTTTCTCTCCTGGGGACAATTCCTGCTTTTAATTTGATTTTTTTTTCAGAACACACACACACATACACACACACACACACACATATGCACACACATGCACAGGCACACATGCACAAGGCTCTGCAGTTTGCCTGTCCCTTTTAAAAACTCTTCAGTGATATTCCCACGCCGGGTCACATGGAGCCACCTCACACCATACCATGGAACGGCTTTGGACAGTTCATTTCATCATGTTTATATCGGTGGATATTTCAGGCTCTTGTTTTACATTTCCCATTTTCTGCACTGCTGGGGTGCCAGCCTCTATGCACTCTCTGTGAGCTTTTACCTCTCGAGTGATCTGGAATGAAGATTGCCGGGTTGGTGAACATGCAAGTCTGAGTTCCAGTAGGTATCACCAGAAATCACCCTGCACCGACCCCGCCTCCAGCAGGGTGTGTGAGTGCCATTGTCTTTACCAACACTGACCACAGCCTCACGTGGTGAGAGCTCTGGGCTGCCTTGTACAAGGGTGAGCTCCCTGTCACCAGGCTGGCACCAGCTAGATTAAAGAGCTGTGCTGAAGGCACTGCAGAAGAGGCTGAGCCAGGGGAATTTTGAGGTCCCTTCCAACCAAGAACTGTAGTTGGGTGTGGTGGTGCACGCATGTAATCTCAGCACGCGGGAGGCTGAGGCAGGAGGCTCGCCATGAGCTCAAGGCCAGCCTGAACTACATAGTGAGACACTGTCACCTTTCTTCCAGTGTTCTCCCTACAAGAAGCTGGGGTAAGGATGTTTCTCTCATTGTTTTCTTAGGTCAGCTGAAGCTATCCATCGATGCCCAGGACCGGATCCTGCTGCTCCACAGTGAGTATTGCCTTGTGTAGCCCCTCAGGGGAGGGGCAGGCCACTTACCTCCTTCCTGGAGCAGGGGCAGGGGTGGTGTCACTATGGCCATGGCCTCTTTTCTCATCTTTGTACGGTGTCCTGCTGTGTATCCACTGAAGACAGTGGGTATTCACGTGGGGGCTCTTTCTGTAGACCCAGCCCCAGTTCCTGGCCCTCATTTGTCTGAACTCTACGTGGTAGGTCTTTGTCTTAGGCTGGTGCTGCCCCTGGGCACTTCAATACTGCCCTTGACCCAGGAAAGCGGGTCCACAGAAGAGCCTTCCTGCCCTCCCTCCCTGCTTTCTTCCATCTTTCTCCCTTCTCCCTCTGTTTCTCCTTCCTTTGCTGATGGGCAGGGCATGGTGAAAGTCAGTCTGTGGAGCCAGACCACTAGGATCTGCATCCTGACTCACACTTTACTTGCTAAGTGATCTTGAACAAGCTCACTTCTCGCAAATGTCAAATGGTGGTGCTAACAGCAGCTATCTTACAGGTTGTTACAAGGATTAAATGAGTTAATATTGGTAAAGTGCTTAGCATAGCACCCGGCACGTAGTAAACTCCATATAAGTGCCTGCTAAATAAAATAGAAAACCATAAACTCCAAAAAGAGTGATTGAGCATTGATGTGTGCTAGGGTCTGGGGACACCAAGGCTTTGTCTAGGTTGTGCTGGTGGGATCCCAAAGAGGTCTTGGAAAAGGTAGTAATGTTCATACTCTACCCTGAAGGAGGAATAGGTTTATGCCAGGCAGAAGGGAGCAGGAGAGCTGTTCTGGGTGTTTTATGCAGAGGGAGCAGCAGGTACAAAGGCCTGGGGTCCAGAGAGGGCATGATGCCCTTGAAGAGTGGTCCAGGATGACTGGGGCACAGCATGGGAGGATTTTATACTTTATTGGTCCTTTGCTTCTTCCTTGTATCCAGCGCATAAATAGTTACGAGTTTCTGTCGTGGTCTCCGCTGCCTGCATCCTTCTGTGTAGTCCAGAATGCCCTTCCTGGCTCTTCAGCCTACCTGGATGTTGCTACCCAAGGGACCCCTCACCCCCTCTTCCATCCAGCAACCTGTGCCCCTGTGAATGCACCCTGCCAGCCCATGCCTCTGAACCTTTGCTCTCACTGCTGTCTAGAACAACTTTCCTTTGTTAAACTCCTTTTGGAAAATACCTCTCCATCCCTCTGCTTTTGCTAGAAGTGTGCCTGTCTTAATCATCCTTAATTAAAACTCAGGAAGGAAGGCTCGTTTTGCTTATTATTTTCCCCGCCAAGAATCACCTCTCCTTGACCTACCTCCCTGGGCTGAGTTTGTTGCTTCCTCCTCATCGCAGTCTGGATACACTGTGCTACCCCGGGTCTGGTCTGTGCGCCCCAGGGTGGGGTACAGCGGGGGTGGGTCTACCTCACTGTCATTGGTACCCAGGGAGACCCAGGAGTCACTAGGCTTGGATCCTGCTCTGAGAACCATGCCCTCCAGGGGACAAATCCACACAGGAACAGTAACTAGGATACAGAGGAGAGTGAGCCAGCAGGCGCCTGGGGTCCCTTGGTCCTGGCCTAGAGGGGCCCAAGGTGAAATTCCCAGAGAGGTGTTCTTTGCGTGCCAGCGTCTGACTCCAGCTGTGCAAACAGCTTTTGCAAAATGCATCTTGGCCTCCACCACTCCATTTGTCCTGCACAGTTTGCTTTGGCTTCACCCCAGTCTCAGGCCCTTCATCCCTTCCAGCCTGTCCCTGCTCCTTCCTTTGGCTTCCCAGGCCTCCTGCTGCAGGCTGCTGGGGGCTGTGTCCAAGCCAAACCCTAGGGCTCAATCAAAACCAAACACAAAAGGAAACAGAAAGAGCTCCGACTTCTGTGGCCCTCGGGCAAATGGGCCGCTCTTGCCTGCAGGACCAGGCCCTCACCCACCCCACACCTATCCTTTGCCTTTATTTATCCTTTAGCAAGCATTTGTGGAGCATTATCTTATTTGTCAGACATTCTTCTAAGCAATTTAGATACATTTACTGGGTACAGCTAACATGTGAGATTATTACTAACCTGTGGAAAAATGACAAAGCAGCTTGCTCTCACAATGTGCTTAGTAAGTGGTCCTGCTGGGACTCATGCCCAGGTCTGCCTGCCTCTGGAGCCCAAGCTGTGACCACAGTGCTATCCTGTCATTGCACTCCCAGATCACCATGCTGCACACGGTCTCCGGCTTGACCCCCGCCCCCTACCCTGTGCTCCCAGAAGGCAGTCTTGTATGGTAGAATAGCACCAGGACGGGGAGTCAAGAGACATGAGTTCTAGATCCAGCTCTCATTCTCATTGCTCTGGGATTTGGGGCCAATTTCTTACTTCCTTTGGTCCACCTTGCTGTCTCATTTCCCCCCTTTAGTGGGGGGCTGGTGGTGGCGGTGGCAGGCTCAGTACATTTTAACATTTTAAGCTTCCTTCCAGCTGTAAGAGTCAGGGAATGGAATGCACTTTATAATGCCATGGCAGGGGCTGGGGATATAGCCCAGTGGCACAAGCACCTGCCTAGCAAGCACAAGGTCTTGAGTTTGAGTCCCAGTACTCCCCCAAAAAAAACCAAACCACTCTATAGATATAATGCCATGGCAAGGGGCTACCAGAACACGGGCAATGGTGGCAATAGACTAGACCACAGAGGGCTTAATATTATCCAGTGGTTGTTATGCAGACTAGGTTCCCTCTACTCACAGGTATGTCTTGTATCTCTTTCAGATCTTCAGATTAGTGTGTGTCTGTGTATGTTCCCACTGAACATTTTAATTTTCTTTCAGTCATTGAAGGCAAAGGCCTGATGAGCAAAGAGCCCGGAGTCTGTGATCCCTATGTGAAGGTATATGATGGGGCTGGAGGTAGGGTGGGTATATTGAGGGGTCATATCTCTGGGGTGAGTCCCAAAGTCCCAGCATGCCTTTGGAATTGAGGCCACTTGAGGTCATGACTACTACCTCATTCCGTGGGTCAGTGGGCCTTTGTTAGGCCCTGTGCTGGGTCCCTAGGGCTGGCATCTCAAGGGTCAGCCTTATTCTTCATGAAGCCCTCTGCTGCTTAAGGTCCTGGGGAGGGGCTTTATTAGGAACAGGGCTGGGTGCCTGAGGCAGAAGAATGGGAGAACATGGGCCTGGGCCTTGCTAGGGGCTAACTTTCCAGGGCAGGGAGTGCTGAGGGCTGCTGGAAACTTAGCAGAGAAGAGGTCCTTGGCTTCTGGGGAGGCCTCCCTGTTTGGAGAAAGAGAAGGTTCAGTTGTACCCCATCTCTGGTTGAGCCATGACTGCCTTCTTGGTTGCAGCCAGGCCTGTCCTGGTGTCTGATTCCAACGCCTCTGTCCCCGGGTCTGTGTTCTTTTCTAACATCTAGTGGGGCTCTCTACTCCGTCCTTTGCGGAGGCTGGTTTGGAGGACACTGGGAAGCTTGCAACCCAGAGAGGTGCAGAAGTAGCTGCTAGGTGTAGGTGGTTATATGATTATGAGATCAGCTAATGCTTCCTTTTTTCTTCAAGATATCTTTGATCCCTGAAAGTAATCGAATACGCTCTCAGAAGACGCAGACCATTCCAGGTTGCAGAGACCCAGCTTTCCACGAGCACTTCTTCTTGTAAGAGTCTGGAGCCACCGGCCCTTGAGAGGAGAGAGGGAGTGTTTATCTGGAAACAGCTCTGTTTGCCAGATCTAGAACGAGTTCTAAAGGATGTCTTTGTTTTCTCATCCCTTGTGTCCTTGCATCTCTGGCCCTGGGCCCAGCGCTGAGGCCCACAGTGATAAGGTATCCCTGGGCTGGTTCTCATAGTACAGTGCCCAGCCTGAAGAGTAGGCAGTTTCCCACTGTGCCCGGGGCCCAGCGTTTGCCTTTAACAGAAGTTTCCCAAGCAGAGGGATGTTTGCCTCCCCCTCCCTCTTTTTATTTACTTGCTAACTTCCCTTAGCCTCCTCATTTATAAGATGGTGTTAATAATAGTACCCACCTTGGAAGGCTTTGGGGACTCTGGGAAAGTCATGGACTTGTAGTCTTTTCTCAAAAATTAATAATATAGATGAGCAGCGAAAGTAAGGCACCCCTGGGTCTACTACTCAGACAGATACACATTGCCCCACTTCTTGACAGACCCTCTCCTTCGTGTGGGTGTGTATGTCTGTGTGTGTTTTATAATGCTGTGTTGTGACCTCTGCTTTGTCCTTAATGTGATTTGAACTCTGTAGCACATATAAGTACTCATCTCCTACACTATTTGTACTATAGTTTATTTATCTACTTGTTTATGTTGTTTCCTCAGTTTTGCAATCACAACTGAGTCCAGGGATCTGGCCTGGAGCTCAGCGCTCTGAACACTCTGCTTTTCTGCTTTGGTTCACAGCCCTGTGCAAGAGGAGGATGATCAGAAGCGTCTTCTGCTTACTGTGTGGAACAGAGCGAGTAAGACCAGGTGAGAACTGCCGAGCTGGGCCAAGGCCCTGCTCGGGGCTATGGGTGGCAGTCAAGTGGCCGGCATGGAGCAGGGCCTCAATTAGTGCCTGCTGGATAAATGAAGGGTAGTGACAACTGTAAACTGCACAGGCTCCCACCCCCGGAGTCACCGTCACTCCAGGTAAGGTCAAGAGCTCTATTGTCAATGAGCATTTGCTGAATGCTTGGTATAAACAAGACACTGTTGGCCACCAGGGGTGCCGAGTAACCTCCATGTGGGTTTTGTTCCCAGTGCACCCACTGTGCAGGTAGGGACACCAGGTGCTGAGTGGAGATCAATTACAGGAATAATATGCATGCACCCAATTCCACAGGACTAGAAGTACCCTGAAAAGTAGGCCTATTTTGCTCTTAGTCACCTCAGTATCTAGTACCTAGCCCAGAGTTGTTTAAAAAATATTGATTGTGTGATGAAAGGAATGAACTGAGCAATGAGGACAGTAAATGTGAGAAGAGGGAGAGTTCGCTGTGGGCAAGATGCTAAGGAGGGCTTCATGGGACAAGCGAGATTTTTACCTGGGGCAGAGATTAAGAATAACACAGAAGCCTGGAAAGGGTATCCGGGTAGGGTACAGCACAGGCAAAGACAAGGAAGCAGGAATGCTGAAGCTTTGTGTAGGAGAGAACAAGCAGGCTGGTCTTGCAGAGAACAGGAGGGCAGATGTGGCCGTCAGCAGTGGCAGGTCGTGTGGAGCAGGGAGGAGCTCCAGACAGGAGCGTGAGAGCTGGGAACTGTGGGGTTCTCAGAGTTGTTACCCTTAACACTGTTCCACCCTATGGACAGATGCACAGCAAAAAGACAGAAGAGAGGACCAGTAGAGGGGGCAGGGCAGGGACAGGGTGAGCAGTTACCTACAGACTGGCTGGTGGTAACGGAGGGTCAGGTGCAAAGTAGACACTGGTTAGAGATGAGACGAAGAGTTGGCAAAAATGAATCAGACAGTGCAGGGATTCTCCTTGGAGAGTGGGTTTCCTCCGAAGCGCCAGTGCTTCTCAACCCTGGAGATGCATCAGAATCAGCCTGAACGCTTGTGAGGAAGTCAGGTTCCCAGGCTCTATATTCATTTGACTAAATCCGATTGTTCATGGGCAGGGCCTAGGAATCTGCATTTATCCAAGTTTATAAGGTGAACTTCATGCAGCCAGTTAGGTGTTTGGGAAGCTGTTTGGCCACTGGGGAGACAATGAAGGGTGCTGGGTGAGGGGTTAAGAGATGCACATTCTAGATTTGTGATTTTGGAAGATCTTTGGTAGGTCGGGGAGAAAGAGGTGACTTAAAGATTAAGAGGCGGGTAACAGAACCAGGGCATATTAAATGAGTAGTACTTAGTAGTGACTTGCTCATGAGAGCAGTGGGAGAAGTCGAAGATAACCCTTGGGGAGCCGGTCATGTCCCCAAAGAAGACACAGTGTACCAGGCAGGAAGGTGCGTCGTGAGATGCAGGTGTTTGGAGAGCAGCAAGGTGAGAGCTGGGGGTGGGGGCCTTTCCCACCCTGGGCTTGGGGAGAGAGGTCTGGGCGGTGGTGGAGGCGTGGAGCCGTGGCCATGAAGGCAGCGGGTGGCATTTGGAGAAAGTGAGACCGCCCAGAAAGAGCACTCAGAATCAAGGCTCAGAGGTCAGAACCCTGTCTTTGTAGGATCAGAAAGATGCAGGGAAGGCCCTGAAGGAGGCAGTGGAGGAGCGCAAGTCCCCTGGGTAGAAGCAAGGGTGAGCCATGCCCCCCACGGGGCTCTGCCCTCTGTCAAGAATGGAGCTTGAGGGTAGAGCCGCAGGAGAAGGAGCCAGTAACTCAGGTCACGTTTTTTGGAAGAGAAAGTAAGGCCGGGGAAAGTGAGTCAGCCTCAGAGAGGCAGCGTGACCAGGGCAGCATCTCCACTTGTTGCCTATTTTGGGAAAGTGAGATTCCTTATTAAATAAAACACAGCCAAACTCGTGGTCACAGTCCCAGCCCCAAGCTCGAGGGGGACAGGGCAGGCTTAGACAGGCCTGGCTGCAAGGCAGATGGCCCTGCAAGGCTGCCAGCACCAAGGCTCAGCCTCCGCTTTCTCTGAGGACTCTCTCCTCTGTTCATCCATTTCTGAATGAGAAGGCCTCTGAGCTAGAGGAGACAAACAGAGAGATGGCAGGAAACTTCAGCTCTGTCGGATGCTGCCAAATCAAATTGTGCTTCTCTGAAGGACAGACATCCCACTTATCAACATGAAAGACAATTGCAGAAGGAAGGAAGCAAGCATTTACCGAACTCTTCTCTGTGCCAAGCACTTTCCATATACTATCTCATTTAACTTCATTAACATCCCTGAAGACAATTATTATTGTCCCACTGCAGAGAAGGGGAAACCGAGGTCTGTGTAGGCCAAGGACCTGGTTTGAGGATCTATAACAGCTCATACTTATTAGGCACTTGATATATGTGGACATTAGGCCTAAGTGCATACCATGCATCATCTGATTTAATCCTCGCAACACCACACAAGTTGGACAACATTATTATTGGTTTGTGGTTTTTTTTGGTACCAGGAATTGAACTCAAAGCTTTGCACTTCCACGCAGGTGCCGCACCTCTGAGCTACATCCCGGCCATATTTGTTTGTTTGTTTTAAATAGGAAACAGACACAGAAAGGCCAGGCAATTTGCTCAAGGTAAAACAGCTTGGATGCACTGAAAACAAACTGCAAATCCAGGCAGTCTGGCACCACCAGCATACTCACAGCTACATCACAGTGTGACTTGACTGCTGCCTCATGTGGGTGGTTAATGACTCTGAAGCCATACCCTCTGTGTCAGTAGCTTGCTCCTTAGGCCTTAGGCTGCTTCTCAGTGTTAGTGGCACAGGTTTACATGAGTTGTACAGTCAGTAGTGTGGTGATCCCATGCTGACACCGGTAAGAGATAAGAGGGAAGAGTCTGGTCTGTGACTCCTCACCATCCTCCTGGTGATGGCTGTAAATGCATATTAGAGAAACAAGATGATCTCCGAAGATGTGCTGGCGAAGGACCAGATGATCTCAGCACCTTACTGATAGCAGCACTTGCTGAGGAAAACCGGGCCTCAGAGCTGTAGATTGGGGCTTGGCTCTGCCTGGCTGTGAGACCATGGGCCAGAGCCTTCCTCCTCTGGGCCTCAGTTTCCTTGCCTGTAAAATGCAGTGATCTCTAAAGTTTGTTTTAACTTCGAGGTCCTGTGAGTTTTTAAAAATCAGAAATTTCAAATGTATGCAAAGGTAGCAGGCATCATATACTCAGTCCCACACCTCTTATGAATATCCAGCTAATCTTATTTCATCTGTGCCTCACCGACTTTCCCTTCCTCAAGTGGAATATTTTAAAGAAAATCCCACATATTACCTCATCTTATCAGTGTGTATCTCTAAAGGATGGCTTTTAAAATGATACAATCTCAACAGCATTATCACACTTATTAATTGCACAATGAGGCACTGAACTATTTGAATGTTCTGTTTAATGGTATGGTAAAAACCAAATGGAAGTTGCTAGTATGAGTTATAGCATTTTCAGAACTTGCGGCCAGAGAACACTCTTGAAGGGAATTGTTATGATATGTACCAAGTTAAAAATATATATATAAAGAACATAATCTTTTTTAAAAATTGAGATTAAATTGTGTAACTCTACAATAAAAAATAGTTTAAAATCCCAAAGAGAAAAAGAAAGAGACACAGAGAGACAGAGAGATAGAGAGAGAGAGAGAAAGAGAGACAGACAGCTAGAGAGACAGAATTAAAATACTTTTCCTAAAGAAAAAAATCACATTTTTTTGTTGCTTTTTAAAGACAGGATCTTACCGTGAAGTCCAGGTGATCAAACGCATGATCCTCCTGCCTCAGTAGCCTAAGTGCTAATGCATTTTCATCTTACAGAGGGTCTCTTACCCTATACTAGAAAGTAAGCTGAATGCCATCCTCCCTGTGCACTCCATCAAGTTCTCTCTAAGCCTTGATCCTCGCTATTCCCTTACCCCGAAATGCCCTTCCTTTCATTCTCCCTGGCTCAACTCATTGGGCCTTCTGCCAGCATCTCAGCCCTAAATTACCTCTTGCCTCCTCTGCCTTCAGAATGTGTTGCCCGCACTGTTCATCTGTCAATCTCACCCTGTCTTGTGACATGCCCTGTATTGCTGTCTTGAGCTGCTATTTAAATTCCTGCCTGTTTGTCTTGTTTCCTTAACACTGCGGCTTCTTGCCCAGTGCCTGCCAACCATGGGTATGATGGATTCACCCATTTGTCAAGCCTTCACTGAGCTCAGGCCTTGGCAGTCAGGAGTAACTAAGGCTTGGTTCCAGGCCCTTTGCACCTAGGGAAGTTTCAGGTCTCTCCAGGGTGAGCTGTAGGTCCCAACTTTAGAGGCTGCCTGGATTGTCGCCATATGCTCAGACTGCTTATAAAAGAAAGCTTTCTTCCTTCAAAAGGTTTTCAAAAGCAACCTTCAGAAGTAGCTAATTGAAGAACACTCAGAGAGAGGTTCCTGCTTGTGGACATTAATTGTGACGATTTACTCTGCCTGAACGATCATGAAATCATTGGAGGCCCCTTAGCAGGAAGCAAAGCTCAAGGGAGGCTATTAACCATTTAGCATTCTCTAAGCACCAGGGAATGAAAATTCCACTTACCGAAGAGCCAGGAGAGGCAGCATTTATTATAGCTAATGCACTAGTCTAGAGATTTAAAAAGTTTCAGCGATAGCCAGTGTGAGAATAAAGTGTACCGCAAGGCAGTATGGGCACCTAGATGCCCGCTGGGGTTCTCTTGAGTATATTTGAAAAAAAAATCACTAGGAGGACATTGGCAAAGTCGTGACAAGACTTCTCAAGGGGCGGCTTGGATGAGTGTCCGCCACTTGTGATGGTTGCTGTGACTCCTGCTAGCTCTGTCTTGGCCACTTCCCAAGAGGGAGGAGTGTTTGTTTTTGCCAATGGGCTGAGGAGATGGACAAGGAAAGGCCGCTTTATTGAGGTGACTGCATTGTCCTCCTTGAGTAGATCATTACTTGATTTAGTGTGATGAGAAAGTGCAAGGCAGGGGGGCGGCAGACAGAGCCGCAGCTGCAGGGAGAGGGGAGTGCGAGCAGCCGGTGGGAGATAGCTGGGCACAGAGATCTCGTGCCATGGCTGTGGCTCAGAGCATGATGGGCAGGCAGGGGACCAGCTTGGAGGATCAACCCTGTATTCCCTGTATTCCCACTTCTTGCTTGGCTTGGGTGCCTGTGAGAAACTGCTTTTGTTTTGCTGAGGACTGTCAGGTAGCGAGTTGCCCCCTTTTTTTGGAGAATCCAAATGATGTGTATTGATAGAGACCTTCCAGACCTCTGGTCTGTGACTGAGGCAGACATATGTGGGTGCCCTGCAGGATCCCTGGAGAGGTTTTCCCAGGCTCCCATGCCTGGACTCACCTTAGCCCAGCAGGGTTTGGGTCCCCAGGTACAAGCTCTGGAGCCCAGATCTCAGACAAGCTCGTCAGGTGGTTCTATGGTGCCCTGCTGGTCAGAACTATTGCCCTGGCCCTGGGGCCCCATAGTCCAGGTTCCCGGGAGAACCAACTGCGAGGGCTTTGCTCCCTGTGCAGGCAGCCTTGGCCACCTTTGGTTGTGATACTCTCACAGGACAGGCCAAATCCCTGGTCTGTGTGGGCCCTTTGGATACTGAATTCACCTGCCAGGGTTAGGCTCCAGTCTAAAAATGCATGGTGTTTTTTCATTAATAATTATTAGACTGATCTGAAAAGGAGTCTGAGTTGGGAGATGCGAGAAGACAGAGGAGAACCGGTTGAGGGGAGAGGAACCTGAGAGGAAATCCCCCAAGGACTCTCCTGTTAGGCTAGAGCAGGATGTGTTGAAATCGAAGTACTTACAAACACACTAGTACTGCTTTTTCTTTTTTTATTAGTATATGTTTGCAATACATAATAACTACATTTGTTTTGAGGCTGCTAATTTTCTGATTACCAAAGTAATGCTTATTCTCAATGAAAATTCAAAAACTGAAAATCTAAGAAGAAAACAAAAATCCATAGTAATTCCACCAACCACATACAACCATTGTTATTATTTTTGTGAGTCTCTTTTTCATTAAATGATAGCTTTGTAAACTTCCTGTTCTCCAACAAATATAAGGGTTTTTTTTTGCATTTCATTAATATTAATTTATGGCACCATTATTAAAAAGCTGTCAAATATTGAACGAGATCAGGCGCATTCAGGGTGGTATGGCTGTAGACAGCTGTTAAGTATTAATCAGTTCCTGATGGCTGAATGTTGAGGCTCCACGGCAGACATCCTTCGGGAACCTTGAATTCCTCTGAACCAAGAAGTCTGTCTTAAACTCAGCCCCTCACCTGAGCCTTGGCCCTGCCTCATGCTGCCTGCCCCGCTGGCTACAAGATCAGATGGGTCCTGGCGATTTTTGTGTGTTAGACCTGAGACAAAGCTTCTTGAGCACCCAGTCCTGGCTTAGCTGGGGGCTGAGAGCCCTGTGGGGACCAGCTCTCCCCACCCTCCCAGCACCAGGACCCCTCAGACCTGCGAGGGAGCTCCTTGGGTTGGTAGCATGAGGGCCTCACCAAGACCTGACTCTTGACTTTCTCTGAGACCTGACTTCTCTCTAGTCCTGTGGCCTTGCAAAGGGAACCAGTTTGAGCCTTGTGTTTCCCTTTGTAAACTGGAGAGAACTCCTGCCTGCCCACTAGGGAGGATCGGAGGAACTGGTGCAGATGGAAGTGCTTGGAGTCGCAGTGCATGGGGCAGCTGGGATGCTTGCTGCCTGAGCTCTGGCACAGCCCTCTGGGGGACCCTGACTCTCTGCTCTTCTCCCAGGCAGCGTGCGCTCATTGGCTGCATGAGCTTTGGAGTGAGGTCCCTCCTGATTCCGAACAAGGTAAGTCCCACCTAGGCCCACATTGGTGCAGGCAGGCTTGGTGCGGAAATCCTTGGGTGAGCCTCTGTCTGTGACATGGTGCCTCACTGAGGCAGTGGTCTGAGTGACAGCACTGTGTCTGTCACCTGTGGCCTGCTGCAGAGGTCCTCTTGGTGTGACTCTTCTTGTCCTGTAGGTAGGATGCTCCCACAGAGACTGCAGGGGTCGTAAGAAGCCTACTCTTTGGCCTCTCCATCCCATTTTTACTTCTGTTCTGTCAATAAACATAGTGGGCTCCTACTGTATGCCAGGCTCCATCCTAGGCACGTCAGAGAGCCTGTGTAAGAGTCTAGAAGGAAGTTGACAGTTGCTTCCAAGGATGAGAGGCTGTGGAACTCAGCAGAGAGGAGGACAGTCTTGTCCTCCTGGAGGTGTGGGTGTTGCAGTGTTGGGTGGGGAGGCAGGGGTATGTCTGCCCTCTAAGGGATGGTGCCCGGCTGCTGCTTTTGAAGGAAGTTGGTGGCTGCTTAGCTGGAGCCCTCTGCCTCCCTTCTCTGAATGTGTCATTCTTTCTCTCATGACAGGACATCAGTGGCTGGTACTACCTTCTGGGAGAGGACATGGGCTGGACCAAGCACTTGAAGGTGACCAGGAGGCGGCTGCGGCCAATCAGAGGTACCTATACCACTCCCCTCTCCTGCTCCCTTCCTGCATGGTGGTGCCAGTACCTGTGTTTTGTGGTGTCTGCCACCCTTGGCTGCTATTAAGCTGTGACGTCCAGAGACTGCTCATGAACTTCTGCTAGAATTCAGGCTGCAGGCTACTCTCGCCCTGGACACTGTCAATTATCTGGATGGACTTTTTTGGGAGAAGGTTGTGGCCTGACCTTGAATGGTCAGCCCCACAAGCCCTTGCTCACAGAGGATTCCAGAGCTTCCTGACTGGCCTCATCCCAGCATCCATGACTCAGGGTGCCCCTGGGGGCTGCCTTACTGACCTTGGGGCAGCCACCTCTGCAGGCAGTGTGTTTGGGCCCTGCTGTGAGCCCTGAGGGCTCAGGCCTTGGATTTTGTGTTCCCTTCAATTCTGTGCTTTGCACACACAGTCCTGACTCCTGAGCCTATGCTGGCCCGGGCCTTGGGCATCCATATTTCCTGGAAGCCAGGAGTGGACTAGGCAGCCACAGACCTGTTGCCCACCCTGTCCTCTGGATGGTCATGGAACGGGCCCTCTTATGCCACCACAAGCTTTCTGACTCTGCTCTGTCACCTTCTAGACCCGCTCCTGAGAATGCCAGGAAGTGGAGACCCTGAGAACGGGGAGAGACTCCAGGTAGGTGGGGGCAGCCTGGGTGGAGCTGGTGGTACTGGGCATCGGCTCCACTCTGCTCCTTGTCAGTCCTGCCTCCTGGGAGACCCCTAGAGAAGGCAGCATCTGGTGTTTGAAATTCAGCAATGGTGCGTTCTGATAGGACTTTTGACCTCTAAAAGCGGAATCCTCCCCTTCTCATAGGCGGCCAGGCCCTCTGCTTCCCCTGGCACCATGACTGAACCACCCTCTCAGGTTAGGCTGGCTGAGGTTGGGGAAGAGGTGATTCCAAACCTGATACCCATGGATTCTAGAGAATTTAGAGAGAAACTTCACATGGGGATTTGGGAAAATTCTCCAAAATTTGTCGGGCCTTTTTGCAGAGCACAGCAGGTGACCCACAGTTTTCTCTAGCAATTTAGAGAAGAAAAAGCAAACTCCCAGTGATCAGGAGTCCTGTGGCTGTTGCTGCCCCATTATACAGATGAGGGGACATAGGTTCAGAGAGGTTAGGTTACTGTCTGTGGTCATACAGCCAGAAAGAGGTGGAGGCCGGCTCTGAGGACGGTGTGGCAGTCACCTGAGTGTACTGGGCCACGCTCCCGCCTGTGTGTGGTCTACCTGGGAACATATGATGTTGACGTGGTCCATAACATCTTACCTGTGGCTGTAGTGTGATCGATGAAGATTTTTGCCTCACTAACTCAGTTCATTCACTCCCTCATTTATTCATGATGTGGGTTAGACCTGGTGCTTGGATCTGGGACAGAGCTGTGAATGTGTCCATGTGTCCACGGTCCAGCCATTGTGGAGCACAGTCTGTGATGAGGAACTGAATATCAACTTTTATTTTGTTTGTAAAAATGTAATTGTTAAATATTTGTGAGACATAGAAATTATATTTGTTTTGGGAAATTGGTATATATATATATATATATATATATATATATATATATGTAATATTGTATTTTGGTCATCTTTAATACCCTCTCCTGTCTCGTTTTAAGTAATGTTAGTTTTACCCTGTGTGTGCGTCTAGTTGCTACTCTGCTGGACAGTGTAGTATGAAAGTAACTTCCCAGGTCTGTTTTCTATGGCTTGATTTGCAGTTTCAAGCTTACCCTGGGGTTGGGATTGTAGCTCAGTGGCACAGTACTTGCCTAGCACGGCCAAGTCCCTGCCTTCCATTCCCAGCGCTGCAAAAACAAAACCAAACCAAAAAGCCTTCCTCTGGCTTTAGAGGGGAACTGCAAAAGACCTTCCTCCCTCTCTCTGTTCTTGATGAGCACAGACCAGGCACCTGAGTGGTGACTTGTGGGAATTACATGGACATCAGCAGTTCAGGTCTCTTGGTGGCTCTGGAAAATCTTGCTTTGTGCTGGATTCTGCACGCAACTGGGAGCCCTGAAGACATTGTTCTGAGGTGCTGTGGATTTTCCTGGGCTTTTGTACTTGGAGACATCCACAGGGCTCACCAAAGAGAATGTGGGTGCCAGAGGCTTGTGGAGAGCCACCAGTGGTCACCTGTTCAACTCCTGAGTGGTGCAGGTGGGGAAATAGAGTTCCAGAAACCTGGGCCACTTGCCCACAGTTCACATGTGAACCAGTCAGGGCACATCCTCTGTCATAAGGATGGAGGGTGGGTGGGTTTTTCCAGGGGTTCCCGGGTGGACAGGGGAGCTGGGCTTCCTCTGCCTCCCCCAGACCGCCGTGCTACTGTCTAGGACTCCAAGGTAGGAAACAGGCCCTGGGTTCTGTCCTCCTATGTGACCTCAACCTCTCTGGCCTCAGTTTCTTCACTGATGGCATGAGGAGGCTGGGTCATCTGATGATTTGGAAGCCCCTGCCACGCCTGACTTTATGGCCCATGTATCATCAAACCCTTCTTGGGGCCAGCCCCTTACATGGATGAGGCAACTGATTCTGAAGCAGCTCCAAGGTGGCAAGCTGTCCTCAGCCTCCACAAGTTCTGTGCTCTGTGTTTTGAGATGGGATGCCCACAGGCACAACCTCTCAGAGTCACTAGGTGGGGTCGGTCCCTTGGATGTGCTACTGGGGGCCCTGGGACTTGCAGCGGAGGCGTGTTTTCTGCCTGGGTTCTCCTCTGCAGGGTAGCGAGGGGTGTTTGTGAGAACATTGGAATCACAAAGTGGCCCATGGCGGAGAATGCAGCCAGAACAAAGGCGCCCTCTCCCCGCCAAGCCCGAGGAATACTAACTAGTTGACAGGAATTTTAATATAAAACTCTCCCTCTTCCTTGTCATTCTGGGGTTTCAGGAAGCCTTCGGGCTTATCTGCAGAGGCACACAGCGCAGACAGGGCTTGGGGAGGTGAGAGGTGATTTCCTGCCATTCTTCTGCAGGGCGGGCTTCCCAGGGCGGTCATGCCAGGCTGACGGGCGCAGTGCGGCCCCGAGGCTGGGGGGAGAGCTGGGTTTTCATGGGGCGGCAGCTGAGGCAGGACCCGCAGCCATGAACCGCTTCAATGGGCTTTGCAAGGTGTGCTCGGAGCGCCGCTACCGGCAGGTGGGTGCTTGGTGCCTCGGAAGAGGGGAACTGAGAGTTGTGGGGGGTCAGGGTGGGGGCTCACTGGAGCAGGACCTCTCTTCCCACAAGGCCTTCCTCACCTCCTCGGGCTCCCCACAAGCACATTTTGACTTGGGGGAGGGGTAGAGGCAGGAACCTGACCCAAGGCCCAGCCTGTTACCTGCCATCCTGCGTTAAGGGCCAACAAGGCCTGGCTCTGAGTTGTCCTAACCGCTGGCTTCAGGGTGTCCTTGGAGAGACTATGTAGCAGATTTTCTGTTCTTTTTATCTGGGGAGGGGGTGTGGATTTTAAAAAGGACATTTCAGGTCTAAGATTGCCAATAGCTTGGTGGTTGAGCAGCTGGGTGTTTCTGGAGGGCGCCTTTGTGTTTTTGCTAACTTTTCCTGCTTCTCGTGGGGTAGCAGTGCCAGTTTGGCCTTTTGTGTGCCTTGGTGTGTGCTTGCATGTGAGATGGAATGCTTCTGTGTACGTGTATGTGCATGACTTTCCTCCCTCCTGCCTCGATGCCTTGAGGTGGCTCAGGGCTCCTGTGGCTCGGGAGTGTTGTCCCGTTAACCCCTGGGCCTCTTCTGGAATTGCACTGAGGCATTATTTTTCTTATCAAAGGAGATAGGATCAGGGAAGGTGTAGGCAAGAGATAGCCAGATTTGGGGAAGTTGGAAGAGAGTACAGAAATTGTTTTGATTTTTAAAATATAGAGAAGTTCCTCTGCTTGTTTTAATGGCCAGACTGGAATCTGGATCCCAACTCCTTTGACAGGTAGTGCGTAAGTCCCTGGGAGATTCCAAGAGGGGTCCCCTGCACTGCACCTGCTGCTAGAGAACCAAGGGTCCTCTCTCCAGCCTCCTAGCCTTCAGGTGCTGCCCTGCAAGCCCTGTTCTGTGTTCCCCTGGGGGCAGAGCGGTGGGGCAGGGAGGGCACTAGATGGCGTGTCATGAAGTCCCTGGTCTCCTTGGGACTATAAGCAAGAAGGCTGGGGCACGCCGGTGTCAGAGGGCAGCCGAGCACAAGTGTGGACTGGGCCTGGGGCTCTAGGACCCAGGGCTTAAGATGACTCCTGTTAGAAACCAGCAACAAGCTTTCTGTCAGATCTGGTCCTAAATCCAGTTCTATCTCCTATTCCTGTGGCTCCTGAGCAAATCATTTGCCTCTCTGAGTCTCAATCTCCTTGTCCCTAAAACAGGAACAAGGACATCCAGGGCTGATGCTGTGAGAATAAGTGGTCCGATGCACGGAAAGGGCTGGGCTCAGGGTCTGCCTCATTCTTCTGGTGACAGTGGAGGGTGAAGTCCAAGTGCTGCAGAGCCTCCCAGACCAGGCAGGGGAGCAGAAGTGAGCTGCCAGCTTGGCTGAGACTGGGGAGTCAGGAAAGTGCACACACCATCTCCAGGAAGGGCAGCCTGTCAGGAGCCAGGGTGGCCCCAGAGTTAGGGCTCCCTTGCCCCCTACCTAAGGCCCTAAGTCAGAGAAGAGGGCTGGGGGAGGGACACTGGCTCTGAGCCTCAGTCGGCATCCTCTTCCGTTAAATGGGTGTGTTAAAACCGCCTTCTCAGTGCTGCAGAGATGGACAGGCCCGTTGGACAGCAGCCTCTCAACACTGCAAGGGGCACCGTTCTGCTTCTGTCACGCAACTCTGCCCAGCCCTCTGAGCTGGGAGATATGCTTGCTTCCTGACACCTTCTCTTCTGCTCCTTCTGCCCTCCCTTGGGTTGCTCTGATCTCTAGCCTGCCTTTTCTTAGGGCTGCACTCGGGAAAGTGGAGGGGCTCCTACCCCTGCCTGTACCAGGGAACCCGGGGTGTGGGAGCTGTGGGGTGACCCCCCAAATATGGTTAGCCCAGCATCTAGGGAGCTGGGACCTGTTAGCCAGGCAGGAGGGGCCATGAGCATGGTGGAAGAGGACTGTGGAGATGCTAGAAGGGCTTCTCGATCCAGCTTCCGCGGGGGCAGTGGGTTGTGAGTCTCCTGAAAAGCCATCCTGGTTCCCTGGAGGGGATGGGGCTCCTGGTGTCTCCTCTCCCCGTCAGGCTCTCTGGGCCATTAGTGATTACTCCTTTCCTCTAGCTTTCCACACTCACTCCTGGGTTTGTTTTTCCTTCTTTCTTTCCATTTTTTTTTTTCCTGTCTTAGCTGTGTGTTTTCCCAGAATTCTTATGGGAACAGAGTATTTTCCTGCCCCCTCCCCCTTCCCCTTGTCTGTCAGGTTTCCTGTTTCACAAACTTGCTTTGAATCCGGGCCGAGGGCTGGTGGGAAGCAGAGCCTCAGGGCCCCTGGCAGTTTCCAAGGGCCTGCATGGCCCTGGTGGCCCTGGGCCCCCGCCTGCTCCCTTTCTTCATGCCTGGCTACGGGACAGCAGGCACGTGATGACAGGTGCCCAACCCGAAGAGACAACCCTTGAAGGAAGAGAAGCAGTCTCCCAACAAGGCGTGGCGTTTTCCCAGGCTTGCTGAGCTGGTGGTTTCCTCCAGCCTGGGACACCTTCCCTGTGGCTCTGCGTGGCCCACGCTAAGCCCCACCACTCGGGGGGCGGTCTCTTGGAACCCCACTGAATCCCTTTTCTGACTTTGCCCCTTTAGCAGTCCAAATGAGCAGGTGGCCGCACTGCACCCTGCATCTTCTGTCGGGGACACTGCCCTTGCCAGGCCACCCTTACCAGTTCAGCCCTTCCCCAGCACCTTCCACTGCTAAGGTGGAGGCTGACATCAAAGTGCAGAGGACTGTGTGCAACATAGTCCTCCTGTTTTGTCCTATTGCTTGTCAGACCCCGCTTTGCTTTGGAGAGACTCATGTGCCCTCGTGCCCTGCAGAAGACCAACACCTCATGCTTCTGTGTCTCATCAGAGCCTGCCATGCAGTGGGAGCTCAGTACTTGTGTGCTGGTTTGAAAAGAACTTCCAGAGGGCAGGACCTTCCATAGGCCCTCTGAAAGTTGGCATTGTAGCCCTGCCATGCCCACAGCCCTCAGAAGGCACGTGGTCAGTGGCTAGTTCAGGCCCTCCTGGGAGGCCTATCTGGGGCCTTGCTCGTCCTTTCACTTGCTGTGACCATCCTGGGATCCCCTGCTCTCTTCCCCTGACCCTTGGACTATGACTAAGTGAGTGTGCCTGGATTTCCTTCTGTGAGTGAGGAGGGCCTGGTTTGGCTCTGTCTTTGGGTTCTCAGCACAAGACTAGCCCTGGGCCAAAGGCCCAAGACCTTTGCGGTAAAGGAGGAAAGGACTGAGACAGGCACTGGGTCATAGTGGCATGGAGGTAGAGGTGTTATGGGCCCTGAGTGGAGGGCTGGCGCTGCTAGGGCTCAGCAGAGCAAGTTTGCCCTCCCAGGGCCCCCGTCCATTCACGGCTCTCTCTGCATCATCTGGGGTTTACCTCCTCCGTTCTCAGACTCCCTACTTGGCCCACAACCAGGTGTCAGGGTGCCTGGGTCAAGACAGGAACAGTGAAGGACTGACCAGCTGCTTCTTGGCTCCGGTTCCCTCGGAGAGGAGGCCAGCTTTGGGTGGGGCTTGTGGGCTTCCCGGCCTTGCAGCTTCTGGGAGTGACTGGGCAGGACTGTGTTCTAGATCACCATCCCGAGGGGTGAGGACGGCTTTGGCTTCACTATCTGCTGCGACTCTCCGGTCCGAGTCCAGGCTGTGGATTCTGGTAAGCTCGCCACTTGGGGGATGCCAAGCCCTGCCTGCCCGCCAACCACCTGGGCTTTGCAGACAGGATGGAACTGGCTGGAGAGCCCCACACTGGAGAGCTCCTGGGTTTTCAAATGAAAAGAATAATATTTTTAAATGACCACAGATGGAATGGAGGTTCATGAAAATACACGGACAATTTTTTAGTTGTTGTTTTTATCAAAGTGAAAATAGGTTTTCCTATTTTGATTGCCAATCATTTTGAACAGGGACAAATGAAACCTGATTTTCTGTAATGACTGTGGGGGAAAATGAGTCACTGACGAACTCTTTTGGAATTAGTGTTTCACCCTGCTACAAGCCTGATTAGCATTTAAAAGTAGTCATCGCTTCTGTTCTTGCCACAAGTGGACTTTTTCTTGTCTCAGAGGGTGTATCTTAGGGCCAGAAATCAGGGCTCAGTGATCAGGCCACCCCTCTGCCTGCACAGGGATGGCACAGCGTTGGTACCCAACCAAGGGGGCAAGAGGGATGAAGGAAGAGGGGGAGTCCGGCAGCATGCAAGGCTTCTCAGTGGGCCGGGAGGCCCTGGGGAGTGGGTGGGGCCTGGGGAGAAGAGGTGGCCTGGAACTGGGATGAGAAGGCCTGGAAAGACACCTAAGGGTGTCTGACTTCCTGGCTCTTGAAAGCCACCAGGTTTGGACTCTCATTTCACAGGTGAAGAAACAGAAAAAGCAGGGCCCTTTCCTGAGGTTTCAGTGGTCCATTGAGGGCACCTTAGGCTTCAGGAGCCCCTGAATGGCTTCTCTTTGTTCCTGCAGGGGGCCCAGCAGAGCGAGCTGGCCTGCAGCAGCTGGACACGGTGCTGCAACTGAATGAGAGGCCGGTGGAGCACTGGAAATGTGTGGAGCTGGCCCACGAGATCCGGTGAAGAGGGCAGGGCGTGGCTGGGCCTCGGGCTGATGGCACATCTTCCCCACCCTGGCCCTGGGCACATTGGCTGTCCTGCCCTGCTCTCGCCAGCCCCTCCTTTGCCCAGCTGCAAGCAATCCACTCCGCTCCTCAGGGAATTGGGTTCTTGGCCTGAAAAGGAAGGCTCAGTCTCTGAGCAGTTTTGGATCTCAGAGCACAAAGCAGGGAAGCAGCTCTCAACAGATCCTGTGGTTCCTATGGTGGCACCAGCAGGTCACTTTCCACATTAGCCAATTATTGCTGCTGCCCAAGAGCTCAACCCTTTCTTTCAGGGTGCATAGATATTGCGGGGGTTTTGGCCTCACAATTAAAAAATTATTTCAAATGTTTGGACCCATTGAACAACCCCCCGAAGGAAGATCTGAATGGGCCCATGTATGTTTGCGTCTACGATGGCTAGATGAAAGTTGCATTGAGGTGCTTTGCTTGTTCCTACTTGCTTGTATCTTCCCCACCACAGGCATCATGAGTTGAGTCTAGTGCTTTTTCCTGTTGAGCCTGGCCTTAGCCTTGGAGTCTTTCTCAGCCGCTACTAAGTGAGCTTAGGCTAGCGTTGACCCACGTGACCCCTTTGCTGTCTACTTTAAGCGGCTTCTTATATCCCTTCTTGCCCTGATACTAGAAGCCTCTCCTCTATGTATGCTTCCTCCTCTCCTCCTCTTCCTCTCTGCCCTGCAGCATCCCCACCCTGGCTGACTCAACGTCTCTGTGTGATCCCTCAACCTTCCAGGAGCTGCCCTGGAGAGATCATCCTGCTCGTGTGGCGCATGGTCCCCCAGGTCAAGCCAGGGCCAGACGGTGGGGTCCTGCGGCGGGCCTCCTGCAAGTCGACACATGACCTCCTTTCACCCCCCAACAAGAGGGAGAAGAACTGTACCCATGGGGCCCAGGCACGGCCTGAGCAGCGACACAGCTGCCACCTGGTGTGTGACAGCTCGGATGGGCTGCTGCTTGGTGGCTGGGAGCGCTACACCGAGGTGGGCAAGCGCGGAGGCCAGCACACCCTGCCAGCACTGTCCCGTGCCACCACCCCCACCGACCCCAACTACATCATCCTGGCCCCGCTGAACCCTGGGAGCCAGGTATGGGCAGCTGGTACAGGGAAGGGGAAGGGTGTCGGGTCCCTGTGGGAGCCAGGAAGTCTCAAAGTCTCAAAATTATGCTGTGAGGAGTCTTCAAGGGCCTGGGGGTGTTGAGCAAGGCGATGATGTTTGTGCTAGCTCTGGCCTCTGCTGGGATGTCACAGAGAGTGCAGACGGCCTGTGAAGCCTCAGGGCACAGACCCAGGACCAGGGCTTGGCAGGCTGGACTATGTTAGCTCACATGCAGGAGCTTGTCTACAGTGGGACGGGCTACCTTGGTAGGTGGTAAGTTCTCTATTGTACGAGGTGTAAAATTAGTGCGTGATTATAGGAGGAGATGATGAAGTATGCTCCCCAAAACATTAGTCCCATGAGCTACTCTGGGAAAAAAGTGTTCTGAGGTCATGTGAGTTTGGGAAATATCCTGTACTCTCTTCCATTTGGGGAAATTCCCAGTGTACATTAGGCTGTCGAGGTTCTGAGGGCATCCTGCAGTAAAGAAGGTGGTTTAACCTTGCTTAACCTAGCTTTCCCCAAACTTCCTCAATGGCAGTGTCCTTTATGGTGTGGTTATTGGGGTCCCACCATTCCAGCGACCCATGAGGCATGTTTTGGAACAGCCTATTGGGGTCTTGCCAAGGAGTTAGATTTCGTGGCACATAAAGCCTCTTTCAACTCTCATATTCTGAGCTGCTGTGTTCTCACCAACCTCCCTCCCTCTGCTGGTTAGCAGCACTGATGTTCATCGCTGGTGCCTTAAGATGTTTCACATCCCATTCATTAGGCCCGATGCCCAACAGCCTGCAGGGCCATCCTGCCCCGTTCCTGGGGTTGAGCTGGTTTTCCTATTTTTCCCTTGCAGCTGCTGCGGCCTGTGTACCAGGAGGATACCATCCCTGAAGGTGAGCTGCCCGCCATTGCTGTGCCCACACAGCCTGTCATGGGGGAGGTCCGCTGAGGCCTGGCCCAGCCTCTTCCTCCCAGTTTAGAGGCCTTTCTGGTGGAGTCACGGTCACCAAGCATGCTGACACAGCCCTTCTTTTCTCCTGCTGCCTCTGCTCCCTCATTCAGTCAATGTCTGAAGCCAGAGCTGAGAAGGAAGAGCAGGGTCTCCCAGAGCCCTCTGGCAGGTGGGATGCTCAGGACTCAGGCGTTCAGTTGGATGTCATCCAGTTTTACTGAGCACCCATCTAAGTCAGGTGTTGTAGGCAGCATGGTGAGGCCGGCACAGAAGAGAGTTGTGCATGTGGAACTAGAGGTTTTGGGTTGGAGGCCTAGCTGTGTGACTTTGAGCAACTTATGTGCCCTTCCTGAGCCTTAGTTTCTTCATCTATAGTATGGGTCAGTAATTCCTACTCAGAGGGTTGTTGGGAGGATTGTGTAAGAACGTGGTTGTGAGCAGTAGCCTGCGTACGGAGCCATGGGACACAGGATGCTCATCTTTGAAGGGCACAGAAATCTCTGCTCTTAGGTGGAGTCTTCTTTGACCTTTAAATTCTGGCCAGAGATGGAGGCTGGACTCCAAAACAGTCCCTTCCCCCAGGAAGTCTGAGATATGGGTCTCTGTTGGGCACTGCGTTAAGCCCTCATGTGCTTGCTGGAGAGCTCTGACCCAAAAGTGCAGCTGATACCTGGAAGGCTGGGACCGGCCTTGCCAGGTGGCCTCCCGTGCCCACCTAGGTTGTGCTTGAGCCCTTCCTGTGGTGCCTGCAGAACGCCCTTGACCTCCTTCCTTGAGACTGGCCATTTTCCAGCCTTGCACACACTTGCTTCCTTGCTGTTCTCTTCCATTGGTAGCCGGAACATGATTCTTATGGTGGGCACGTGGGAGAGAGCTTGTGTCTTTTGTGGGGAAAGGGCCTCCACCAGGCTCTGGACAGGTGATACAAGGCACCTCCTTTCTCTCCCCTCTGGAGGCCTTTGGGCGGTTGCGCTTGGCCTGCTGGAAATCAAGTTGTCTTCCTTCTAGGGAGGAGTATTATCATGATTCAACAATAAGTGTCTGAAAGCTTTTAGTTGTGGCACATTAGGTTAGAGTGAAGATGTCACTGCTAAATGGTGACTCCATTAAGGACAGGGCTGGGCCCGGCGTATTTCTGAGGACCAGACACAAGTCTGGAAGATAGCAGTAGAATTTCAGCCACGGAGTCAGGGAGCCACAGAGGTGTGTGGCCCACTGTGGGCACACGGACACTGACTGGGTGGTGAGGGGTTGATTCCCTCTCAGCCTGAGAGATGCCACTGTGGTTGCTTCCAATCTGTATTTATGTTTCATTCCCCTCTGAGAATATAATACTAAGAAAGGCACAGTTATCTAAGCTTTGGGAGGGACAAGTAAGGAAATGATCATGTTTGTAACAATGGTGGCTTTTGGAATGTATTATATTAAGACCTTGACTTTATTTATTTTTCATAGTAATAATCCAGGACATATTTGCTGTTTATCAAGGATCAAGGCTTTATAACTCCTAGGTCTGGGGTTCAGAGCAACGGGTGAAATTCAAGACACAAAATTTCCCTTGAACACATGCAGGCTTGTTCAGAGGTTAAGGCTGTCACCAAGGAGCTGATTCTGAGCCTACTGGCTGAGCTGCCAGGAGGTAGCCATTCATGAGGAGGTTGAGCTATCCTGAGTTGAATAAGGTCTGGTGCCCTTCCGGGGCTTGGAGTGCCTGCTGGGCTGTAGTTGGTGTGTTCTGTGGGGCTGCTGGTGCCCTGGGCATTGTCTTCTGTCCCCAAGAAGGCAGCCTAGCCTCAGAGTCAACACTGCCAGAGCAGGATGGCTGCCAGGGCTTGCCTCGGAAGCTGAGAGCAAAGCTGTATAATTATTGTGTTTGGCTAGTGAAGCAGGTGTTAGAGGAGAAGGGGAGCAGACATTGTCATAAGAGGTAGCAGGTGGGAAGTAAATGAGCTTGCTTTCACGGAGCTCAGCAACTGGGTCGCAATCTGGACTGTTCTAAAAGCAGATCCTTGGAAAGTCGGTTCTGGAAAACCATGCTCCCTTGCACTCTGGGCCTTAATTTCCTTGTCCTTAGATTATGGTTAAGCAGACCTTCTCTCTCTGAAGGCAGAAAGATGGGTCAAGGAGTTGATTTGTGCCTCTTAGGCCCAAGATGAAGATTCCTGGCAGCCTTGGGCAACTGGGCCAGAGAAGGGATGACATGGATTTTGAAAAAAGTCAGCAACTTGGGGCTAAAAGCTCAGATTTTGCTATGTGCAAAGGTATCCTTTATTGACTCTGGCCTAGGTGGCCTCAGTCCCCTGCTTGTCATCCTGCATGGCTTTGCCCTCTCTAGTGTAGACTCATTCCATGTCAAATTAGTCTGTCTAGTTCCAGGCTGACCCTGTGGCCCTGGGCGTGGTATGGCTTGTGACCTAACAGCCTTCACTATGCTTCCACCAGCCACGATGGACTGCTTGTTGAGCGGCTGAGGGTTTTGGGGTGATCCACCGCACAGGTCCCCTCCTGCACAACCCACCAAGTCCTTTCCAGTCAGGCCCTTTGTGTGAGCTCCCGGGTGAGGCAGCGTTTACTTTCTACTCTGTAAAGAAGAAAATGACTCAGAGAGGAAGGAGCCTGTTCAGAATTGCACAGCCAGTGTCTGACTTGATTAGTCAGCACAGAAGCTCAGGGGTCTTACCCAACTTCATTGCTGTGCAGAGCGCCCAGGGCCTGGCTGCATAGATGTCCCTGGGGCCAGATGGGACAAAGAACCGCGTAACTTCTTCCCTGCGTCTGCCCTTCCTACCCCCATCCTTGGCTCCAGCTTTCTACTTATCATGGTTTGATCACTGTGATCATGGTCACTTGTGGGGGTGGGGGAGGTTGACTTGTTTTTCTCGCCTCTTGGTGAGAAGGGTTAGCGGGTGGGAGGTGGAAGCTAGTGTGAAACCTTCTGGGCTGAGTGCTTCCTCTGGGCCATGACCTTGCGTTGGTGGGGAGCTTCCCTGAGTGTAGCTGGGTCAGGCCACCTGTTACCCCGCCGGCTTCCAGAGCTGGGGGCGGAAGAAAGGTGCCCAGTGTGGGCACCCAGCTCAGCGAGGGCCTTGCTGGCTGCCTGCTAGTAGCAGCAACCCTTGGAAGAGAGCTGAGGTGTGTGTGGAGTCTGATGGCTCTGGGCTTGGTCTCCCTGCTCCTTGTGTCCAGGAATCTCTGTCTTTTTAGCTGCTTTGGGTTTTAGTCCTCTGCCCATTGGATGGGACATGATAAAGAGCTGTATACCACCCCTTGTTCAGGGACAGAGTGTGTCCCTCAGTGTCCCCTTAAAAAGGGATTCTCATGCCAAATGACCTTTTTGCTCTTTGCTCTTTTCCCTGCTGGTGGCCTCCTCTGTAATAACTTGTGAGCTAATGGCCAAGTGGGGGACCTTGTCGAGGTGATGATATCTGTATTCCCAGAGTCCCACGCGGCTCCCTGTTTTCAAAGGATGACAATTCAGGAGCTGACTTTCCGTGTACCTTTCCTAACCCAAGGCACTGCTCTTGGGCTTGGCTCAGAGCAGCTTGTTGGGGTGCCTGCACGTTTACTCTGGTTGAAGAAGCCAAGACTCTGGGGTGAAGTAAGCCGCCCACCATCAGTGAGCTAGTGCCTGTGGGAGCGAGCTTTGAGCGCAGCCACCTGGCTTCAGAGCTGTGCTCCTTACCGAGAATGACAGTGGCAAGTACTACTTCTTGTTTTAAAATTGTAGTGCTGGGGTTTGAGGTCAGCATCTTGTATGTGCTAAACAAGTGTCCTACCACTGAGCGACATGCCCAGCTCTTTGTATTTTTGTATTTTGAGACAGGTGCTCCCTAAGTTGCCCATGTGGTTCTCACAGTTGGTGATCTTCCAGTCCCCCTCCACCCTCCTAGTACAGCCAGTGGCCACCATGCCCAGCGGATAAGTGCTACTTTTTACTGCGTATTGACTGACTGTGGTTAGCCAGGTGACTCCGGCTTCCTTGACCAGTGGAGGGCGGACCACATGCATCCTGGCAAAGTTCACTGTCTCTGCCACCTCTGTAGAGAATGGATCTTTGTCCAGGGCCTGGGAGGTGACGGATGGGCTGGCGTGGTGGCAGGGGGGTGAGCAGGTGCTCTGGTACATAGGGCAGTAGTTTCTGTGCCAGTGCATTGTTCCATGTGGCACTGCAGGCGCAGTGAAGTCAGCCATTATGATTTTAAAAATATGAGTGGTTTCTTGATTCTTAAATGTGTGAGGCCAATAAATAGATCTGACTCAGGGACCGGGATGCTGACTGGGGACTGCTGCATCTCATAGTGTTGGTGCCCTGTCTTTGCCTTAAAGTTGCTTATTTATGTATCAGTGTCTCTCACTAGAGTGTGAGGGATTGGTTGAGGCCCGAGACTCAGCTGGAGCCTCCTTGTGTTCTCAGCTCTTTGCAGAGGCCCGGCACAAGGCAGATTATCAGTCAATGGTGCTGATTGGCAGGTGACCTTGAACTCATGGTAAGCCTCCTGCCTCAGCCTCCCAAGTGCTGGGATTACAGGTGTGTGCCACCAGGTCCAGCTCAAAGGGGATCCTTCACAGGAGCGATGGAAATGCCTCACCATCCCCCACCTCTGTTCCACAGAATCAGGGAGTCCCACAAAAGGGAAGTCCTATGCAGGCCTGGGGAAGAAGTCGCGGCTGATGAAGACTGTGCAGACAGTAAAGGGCCGAGGGAACTACCAGGACTGCTCGCTCCTGAGGCCGCACGTCCCGCACTCAAGCTATGGCACCTACGTCACCCTGGCCCCCAAAGTCTTGGTGTTCCCGGTCTTTGTTCAGGTGAGCCTGCAGCTGACCCCAGGGGTGTCACTGGGAGGAGATGAGAACGAGGAGAGTTCTTCACCCCAGGACTCAGAGTGCAGTGCCTCACCCAGGACTGAGGGCCCAGGTTTGGGAAAGACAATGACCTGAGAAGCTCAGGATTCTGGAGGTCGCATTAGTGAGCAGAGGTTTCCAAGGGTGAGCTCAGGAAGCATGGCACCATAGAGGGTCCTCGCCTTCCCCTCTCAGCCTCCTGTCTCACTGGGGCAGTGTAGGCACACTGCAGCTGCTTGCTGGGATGCCCACGACCTGCCTGCAGAGGCTCCCGCTCTCCAGCTCACCCAGAAGTTTGCTGTTTGGAACTGACCAAGGGACAGCTCCTGTCCCCTTGGTCACCCAAGCATGTCTGGCTAGGGTTCACCGGTGACTTGAGATTTATCTGAATCTCCCTTCTCTTATTCCTTCCTCCTCCTCTTCTGTCTCTTCTTTTGCATTTTTTTCTCATCTCTTTAAAAAATAATCTTTCTTCATTCCATCACCCAGATATAATCAGTTTAAACACCTAAGTGTCATATATAATAAATATATAGATTTAAAAAAACAGAACAAATCTTATTCTATATTTTATACTCAGTTGCCTTTTTTGGTTTTGGTCTTTAGAGACAAGGTCTTGCTATGTAGTTCAGCCTGCCCTTGAACTTACGGCAATCCTCCTGCCTCAGCCTCCTGAATACTGGGATTACAGGTGTGTGTCACCATACCTGGCCAAGTTGCCTTTTTAAAACAAAAATTATAGCAGGAGCATTTCTTTCAGCTTGAAAGTGCTCACTCTTTCATATATAGTAGTTATATGTAGTAGTGTTCACTTGTGTGGTGTAGATATACAATGTCTACTGAGCTGGTTCTCAGTTCAGATCTTTATGTCTATTCTTTTGCTATTGAAAGTAATGTTAGTTTATCCACTCACCAGGAGCATAAAGGTGACCCAGCTCCAAGGGTGTCATTTCTGCTCAAGTCCTACTTCTCTGGTCTCCTTAGCATCCCATCCTGAGTCTGTCCCTGTCCAGGGGTCTGTGGATTCCCTGGGATGTGATGTATCCATGGCAGGGAGCTTAGCTCTCCCTCTATGGCTCTCTCGGCAGGGCCTGACCTGTGCCTTTCTGTGGATCTCAGGTGTAACACAAAAGTCTTGCCATCCTGGGGGGATCAGTGTTTGTTTTTAATTTTGATAAAAAATTAAAATTGATTTTCAAAAAATTATGAAAAATCTTTTGAAAATTTTTATATTGGGAAACATACAAGCTAAAAATCGCATAATGCTTACATGTTCAATAAAGCCAATATCCACTAAAGTAAAGGGATACGCTTGCTGCCAGAGGGAGATGCTGGAAGCCTGGGGGCTTGCATATCTCTTCCTGGTTGTAACGCCCCTCTCCCTTCCCACCAGAGGTACCCTCCAGCCTAGCTTTGTGGTGAGCATTTACTTTTCTTTATTTTTGCCATCTCTATATACTTTGTGGTGAGCATTTACTTTTCTTTATTTTTGCCATCTCTGTATATTTCCCTAAATACCATATTTTATGTGGCTTCTTTTAAAATATTGTTTAATGAAGCCATACTGCATATATTCATTCGCATCTTGCTTCTTTGCCTTCGTATTATTTATAAGGTTCAACCAGGTTGTTGTGTGCAGTTGGTACTTGGTTCATTATCTTCCTTCAGGTATTGCTTGAGGCCAAGCAGGTAGAAGCCATTATTAGTACGTGCTCATGAGGGTCCTGCTGGGTAATCTAGAGCTCGGGGTGCTTTCTCTGGGCTGCACTGGACAGGATGATGGAGTGAGAGGTTTGGGTGAGAAGTGGTTCCTTTAGAACTGATGATGGGAAGGAGTCAGCTCAAGTGTGTTATGAACGTAGAGCAGGGAGAGGCCTCACCATATAGGGTCTCAAGTGGCCAAATCTCTTGTCATGTGGCTCTCAGGGTGCCTCTGGGCTCTGACAGCAGGACACTTCCGGGGAGCCGTCATCAGGAGAGATGGGGGATGTGGGATGGGGAGCCCAGTGTAGGGGGTGGGCGGTGGGGGAGGGGGAGCCTGCAGAGGGCTCAAGCATGTGGTTGGACTTCCTGCCGGAGAGCAGAGCTCTCACAGTGAGGGCTGGTGGGGAAGGTGGCAGCCACAGTTCTGCACAGGACAGGAGCACCTTTCTGTTTCCATCTGGTGTGTGAGGGGGTGTGTGGCTTCTTGGGGGAGGGGAGGGCTCTTTGCAGCTGGCTTTGGCGAGCTGCTTCCTCTGCCCCCCTGTGTCTTTGCGCAGCCCACTCACTCGCATACTCTCTGTCTTCAGCCCTTAGATCTCTGCAACCCTGCCCGGACCCTCCTGTTGTCAGAAGAGCTGCTGCTGTACGAAGGGAGGAACAGGGCTACCCAGGTGAGTCTCAGCATGCTGCGGTGCTGACTTCCTCCTTGCCGTCCTCCGGGCCCTCACCTTTCCTTCCTCCTGATGACCATGGTACAAGCCCAGGACGGGGCAGACCTGAAAACTCTTCCACCGCTCCCCAACACATGGGGACCTAGCTATTTCTTGTCTACTTCCAGCGATAGGGAACTCACCTCCTTGTGAAGCTGTCTTGTTTTTTTTGACATTGATATTATTCCCCCAGCCCACAAAGATATTCCATTGTTTGCCCCAGCTTTCTCTCAGGAGGAGGAAAGATGGCATTTCACTTCAGCTGTGGTAGGTGACTTTGTGGGTGAGAAAATTAAAGCTGCTAGCCAAGGAGAATTTTTAGAGGTGTGTCAGTTCTCTGAATTTTCTGAGTCCGTATTAACCCACATTCCAGATCTTCTCCTGAGAGGTCTGTGATCTCCCCTGGTCTCTGGATGCACCAGTAAGCCTTGTCTGGGGGCTACGCCACTCTTTCTGGGAGCTGGGAGCACTTTACTCACTGACTCATCCCCAGAGCTGGCCAGGTGCCAGCTCAGTCCCTGAGGCCGGGACAATAGTCCCTGGCTGTGTGACCATGGACAGGTCATTTAACCTCTCTGAGCCATAAGATCCTCATCTTGTAGAAAGTAATGATGTTATTGACATGGAGATCCACACAGCAGAACGTAAGTGCTCCGTAAGTAGAGGCTTCTATTGGGTGGCAGTATGGAGATAGAGTCATCTTGGTCCAGGCAGGACATAAAATGGAGCTCTTCAAGCTGGCCTGGCTACCTGAGGCTCCTGGGGTAAAGGAAAAGGGCTTGGTCCTGTTCAGGTCCGGATGCAGGGCTGGCTCCTTCATCTTAAATAGGTGCCTGGAGGCTGGCAAAATCAGGAAACTTGGAGGCCCATATGTGGGATATGGGCCAAACTTGGAGGCCAGAGCCCCATATCCAGCCCCAGCTGTGCTGCTGATGCACTTACGACTTCTCCCTCTTGCTCTGTTTTTCCATGTGCATTTAAGGCTGCAGGAGCCAGCTCTGAGGGGGCTTCAGCCTTACCGTCCTAGGGCACCGAGTGTGACTGTGGCTGAAGCAGGAGGTTGGCTTTATTTTGTTTGTAAACAAGCGGACCAGAATTCCTATGTTCCGAATGAGCACTGTCTTTTTCAAGGGTGCTCTCTGGTGAGACTGCAAGCGGATTTCTACTGCACTGGTATCGCTGAGGTCATTCCTGGACCTCTCCTTTGGGAATATTCCTGAGAATCGCAGCATGGCTTTGGAATTGCCTCTGTGGGAGGAAAACTTTATCTGGTGAGGGGGATTTAGGTTTTAGGAGTGAGAGGTCACTGGGAACTGTGTTTGGTGAATAAACGTGTGGTGGAGCTAAGTCAGACGTGCAGGGCAGGGTCAGAAGGCTCGGTGTGGCTGTACGTTCTGCAGACCCGGAAGGTGGCCCTTTGGAATGATAGCCACCCTGAAATACACATGTATGTCTTAAATCACTCTTAAAATTCTCTTACCATTAAACCCACAAGTGTTGACCACTTGCTGTGCATACATTTTGCACCGATCCTGATTAGTTCTGCGGCAACCCCATGAGACACGAGGATACTGATGTTCTGATGAACTTAACTGGGACATCCAGCCTGGTAAGGAGCAGAGCCAGGATTACCACTTGGTTCTTTGGCTCTAGTCCTGGTCAGCAATGCTTTCTGTGACCCCATGCTGCCTCTGGTATGTTTGTTTAAAAACAAACAGAGAAACTCTAGCCGAGCCATAGCCATAGTTATAATTCATCCAAAATATCTTAGCCTCATGGATCTTGGGAACCTTAAAACCAAGAGACACTCCCCTCCCAAAACTGAAGGAAGTGATATGAGGACAAGTGAAATAAATATATTCCTTTTTTTGCGGGGGTAGGGTAATGGGAATGGAACTCAGGACCTTGCGCTTGCCAGGCACCCTTTTTTTTGCAGTACAATAGCAACCAAATATAAGGACTTTGGTAAGCTTTCATTTTCTTCAAGCTAAAAATAGAGCCAATTCCAGAGGAACTTGGGTAGCTTCATACAGCCTTAGTGCTGGTCGGGCCCTCAGGAACCATCCATTCTAATTGCTTCTCTGCATCCTCCCAGCTGTTGGTTTTCCCCACAGTTTCTGAACTCGAAAGAGCAGCCCTTCCCAGCTGGAAGCCCTCCCCACCCCATCTTTTGTCTGTCCCTTCTCTGGGCTTGCTCAGGTTTGCTGATGTCTGGGATCCAGTCGTGTCCCACGCCATGAACTGCCCTTGTCACACCCTCTACCTAGAAGTCAAAATGCTGCTTGCATTTTGGAGCAGTCTCATTTATCCGTTCAAAGAGTAGTTACAGATCATCTAGGATGTAGCCCAGCCCAGTGCTAGGTTCCTGGAATACTAAGAAGGGAAAGGCAGACACACCCTCCCTTTACACACTGACTCACTGAGTTTACCATTAACTAAGGACCAGAGGTCTTTTCTCAATACCCTGACTTGAGGCCAGTTTCCCAGGAGAAGGCTTGGCTAGGGCCACTTGAGAGAGAGTCACCCTCCAGGTTGTAAGGATTCCTCAACTAGAGGATCCCTCAATCCTTGGCCCTTTGGAAAAACAGATGTGTCTGTGCAGGTGTGGGGAAGACACCTGGAGGCCCCTGTGGCTGGTGGTGGAAGGCAGCAGGTAACTGGATTGTGGAGATAGGGTCATCAGGATGCTGGTGAGATGGAAGGGGTCCACATGTCCTTCTCTGGCATGCCTGCCCTCTGTCCTGTCCAGCTGTGTACCAGCTCTGTCCTTTCCCTGACCTGACCTTTGGGGAAACTCTTCACTCATGCCTTAATCACTTCCTGTCTAGACCATATTCTCAGCTCTGGGAACCCAGGCTAGGGCATTGGCCTGGGGCTATTCTCACCTTGAGGGAGGCTCCTCCCTCTTTCCCTCCACCCAGCCCTCTCTGTGCCTGCGCCAGTTTTTGACTTTTTAGGCTCCTGACAGATTGTCTTCTCTGACACTTCCTCCGCCAGCTTCCCTGTGGGTCCGGAGCTGACAGCTAGATTTTCTTTGATTTGGAGACATGTTTTATGGGAGCAGGGGGGTTTGCCTAGTGTCTCTAGCTAGCGTAGAGCCTTCTTTCCTTTGCTTGGACTTTGTGGTCCACTCCCCAGGTAGCCAACCCCTTGAATCCTTCTGAACTCTTGATCATTTTCTTCCCCTTCCTTAACTTTATTATTATCATTTGTCTCCTTTGTTTCTGTTTTTTGTCTCCATTTGAATCCTTTCCTATTCAGGGACAGAAAAGCTGCAGGCATATATATTGCTACTACAGTGCTGTGCATAGTGTGAGCTTTACGAGATCCCTCAGACCTGCATATCAGTCCCTGGCTGTGTGGCTGTGGGCAGGGAACTTAACCTCTCTGATCTGTAACATTTTCATCTGTAAAGGCCAATGATGTTTTTTACGTAAAGATTGACAGAGCAGAAAGTGTTCAACAGGTGGAGGTGTCTCTTGGGCAGTTGTAGGAGACAGAGCTGTGCTGGGAAGGGGGTTGGGCAGGTCACTAGTAAAAGCCCTTCCATCTCGGGGAGCAGGAGTCTTTGTGTTTGGGCCCCATGGGAGGGGACAGAGCCCTGAGCCTCCTTACTCAGGGACTCAGCCCCTGCTGTTTCTTGCCTCTGTATTTGTGGGACACTCAAGATGCCAAGTAGGGCTTTGGATATTTCTTACAGATTTTTAAATTACAAAAGTAACCGTCTCATTGAAAAATAATGCAAATTAAACAGAAATGTATAAAGTAAAATCCCATCTCCCAGAGTAAGGAGAGCAGTACCTACCTTAGGTATCTTTTCAAAAATGTATAAATACAGAAAGAGCTATCGTTCTGCGTTACAAAATTACATTATACCCCAGGTGTTTTTTGCACATCACGCTAGTTCAACTTCTGATAGACCCATTTCTATGTCTGCCCGTATAACTCTATTTTAGGCTTTTAACAGTTGCACAAAATTCTGCCATGTAGAAGTAGTTAATTTATTTTATCTATCCTCTCTTGATGGATTTTTATGTTATTTTCCTTTGTTAAATTATAAGAATGCTGCTAACTTCCTTATATGTTCACATTTGTATGGCCTTGCAAGTATTTCTTTAGGGAAACATGTCAGAAGTGGTGTTGTAGGGTCATCTTTACCAGTTTGAGAGCTAGATGAAAACATGTTGGCTTTTGAAAGGTCAGTCGCAATCTGATACACACTCACTGTGTCCAGACTGTATACTAAGCCCTTCTGCTGGATTCCTCTAACTTTAGAAGAAATGAAATACCGGGTTTGACACCTCAAAGGGAAGTTCCCATAAGTAATCATCTTTTGTGGCTTTTTTTTTTTTTGAGAGAATCTAAAATTGGATTTTATTGCTTTTAACTAAAGGCCACTGCAGAATTTATAAAACAAAGAACAGTGTAAACTTCAGCGGCATAGAGGATCAAGTAGATTTTTTTTAGCATAAAAAATATGCTGTGCGTGCCTGTTGGTTTACCTATAATGTCTAGAAATAGCTTTTTTCCTTTGTTTTTGGAGCAACGGGTACATGAAGGAGATAAAATTATGTACAAGTCTGTATTGAAATATAAGCAACTGGCCTTTTCTTGGACTGGTTTTTCATTAATGCAGTTAAAGTTATATGCAAGAAATTTGGTAGTATTACATCAACCACGTGATGCCAAGAGTTGTTCAGGAAGCTTGAGACAGAGCTGGGTAAGGGGCCGGAGACTCCCCAGGCACTGTAGGGCCAGTCTAGGACAGGTGGGCCTGGGGACACCAGGCTGTGGAGAGGCCCCCGCAGACGCTATCTGCCATGGAGGCTGAGGGCTGTTTTTCCTTCTTGTGTATTTTTTTTTTTTTCCTACTTTGAGGAGGGCAGAAAGTTGCTCTCCATTGGCTGGGCCACCCTTGGAGTTGCTCCTGGTTCTGCCTGAGATGACAAGGATGCATTACCCAGACCTCCAGGGGAGGCTGTGACTCTTTGTGTCCAGGGGACAGTGGAGTAGCCAGGCTGTTTGCTCTCTTCCATTGCAGGTGACACTGTTTGCCTACTCGGATCTGCTGCTCTTCACCAAGGAGGATGAGCCTGGACGCTGCAACGTCCTGAGGAACCCCCTCTATCTCCAGAGCGTCAAGCTGCAGGAAGGTGAGGAGTGCCAGGCTGCTGGCCCCCAGTGGGGCATTTGATATTTGTTGTGGGCTCTGTCTCTGGACCGGCGAGTGATCCACTCTAGGCTCATAAGCCTGCTGCCACACTTTGAGCTTTTTGTTTAAATCTTGGCACTGCTCTTACTCCGGGTGTGATCTTGGGCAAGTTGCTGTACTTCTCTGAGCCCGTTTTCTCGTGTGTCAGGATAAGGGATAATAACAGTATCTTAGAAGGTTGTTGGGTTAAATTAGGTCATTCATGCAAAAGGTTGGCCTATAACCGATGCCTAAGAAAGGCCTGCTGCCATCCTACCCCCTACAGATGTGTGGGCAGAGGCCACTGCCCCTTCTCAGCCGGCCACATAGCTCTGTCAAGCACTCAAGGAAGCCAGAGCCTGCAGAATTTCTAACCCAAAACTTTCCATGGTGCCTTGGCCCACCAGGAACGGGAAGCCAGCTGGGAGTATCTGTCCAGCGGTTTGGTTTGGCGCCTGAGGTCTCCGCTGAAAGGGGCTCGATTTCCTCTCCCAGATTATGAAAACAACAACAGACCTGTTTGAGCACGGGTGACAGGGGCAGGGAGGAAAATATTACCCCGTGAAAGAATTCTGTTTTGGCGGGTTTCATTCCAGGCAAGCTTCCTGAATGCTCGCAAAGCCATCCTGTGCACCCGCTGCCCTGGCTGGTCTTCCTCCTTGGAAGCCAGGTCTTGTGGGAACCTTCACTGTCGCCTCCCCACAAGAAGTCCCTCACCACTCTCCCTCTCTAGCTCTGACTCTCTTTTGCCTACTGACCATGGGTGGCCACAGCCCTTCCCTCCCGGCAGGCAGCTCAGCCAGACCAGGACACAGGAATGGACCAGACCCGTTGAGCCACTTGGGCACAGGCCTTGGTGTGCCAGGAAGCTCTCTAGTGCCCACCACCCTCCAGCCAGTGGACTCTGCCCTCACCTGCTTGTTATTTCCCCTCCTCCCCTGCTCCCTGGAAGCCAGTTCCCCTAGGCTCTGAGTACTCACATCTATGCACTTTCAGTATAGTCCCTCCTTCTCTGCTCCCCTCTCCCCACCCCAGTCACACCTGGGGAGCACTGCGCAGGACAGTGCTCAGTAACACGCACTGACCAAGGATGAAAACTCACTCAGGCTCTGCTCTGCACATTGTAGGCCTGGGGCCACAAGCCCAGGACTCTTATTTGCTCAGCTTCCTGCTACAGGGAGGAAGGAAAAGAAGGAGGCTCCCACCAGCTGTATTTGTTTGTTTATTTATTTATTCTTTTGTCTCGTCTTTTTGAGACAGGGTCTCACTATGCAGTTCAGGCTGGCCTTGAACTCACTTTGTAGCCCAGGCTGGCCGCAAACTTGCAGTGATTCTCCTGTCTCAGCCTTCCGAGTGCTGGGATTACAGGTGTGCACCACCATGCCCGGCTCAACTAGCTGCATTTGGGTAGAGGCTGGAGTGGGAGGAAGAAAGCAGTGGGAGAGCTGAGGGAAGTAGCTGGAGATTTGCTGCTAATTTCCTGTGTGACCTCAGCTGGTTCTTTCCCTTTTCTGGGTTCGTTTCTCTAACTGTGAAGTAAAGGTTGGGGAAGCTCTTTGTGTGCCCTCCCAGCTCTGCTAGTCCCAAGCAGAATGGCCACAGTGTCTGAGAGGAACCAGACAGTGCCATGCCGCCCTGCTTCAGTCTGCTGAGGGGCCTGGACTGGGTTGCCCCTCCTGGAGCTCCCCGACCCAAGACTTGCAGTTAAAGGCAGTTGTGCGCCATGCTCCGATGGGTGGTAATGGTCCAGGTGAGCCTGGAGTCTTGCCCTTGCCCAGGTGTGATGTCCTTGGGCTGAGACCACACCTGCCTATGGATGGTGGGCCTCCTAGGTGAGATCTGAGGGTGGCCCAGGAAGCACGTTTCAGGAGAGATGACCAGGGACGTTAGAGCTTGTTAGCTTGGCATGGGACAGGGAGTGCTAGATTTGTTGGGCAGATGGTTTGGAGCAGACCTCAGGGCTGAGATGGTTTGGGGGAGCCTCTGGGTAGCCTCAGAGCTGCTTAGAGCAAAGGAGATTATTTGATGACACTGAATCTTCTAGGTATACATTCAGCTGGGCACATTGGCGCATGCCTGTATCCCAGCACTAGAGAGGCTGAGGCTGGAGAATCACTTTGAGTTCAAGGGCAGTGTAGTCTACACAGTGAGTTCAAGACCAGCCTAAATTACATAGCAAGACCTTATCTCGAAAAACAAAACAAAACAAAAGAGCAGCAGCAGCAACAACACACAGCTATATATGTATTTTTAAAAATTATAGAAAAAAATGCACATTTCAATGCTTAGTTTCTTTTGGGACACCCAGGGAGCCCTTGTGCCTCTACTCACCACTGTCTCCACATCCCTGAGCCAGACCCAGAGGTTCACTGAAGTCCAGTCCCCTTCTGTCATAGGCAGAGGTGGAGCTTCAGGACCCAGTGTTCTGAGTCCTGGCGCCCGATTTCCTGCTCTCCTCCCCGGTGCCCCAGGAGACTCACTGCCGCCGCAGGGGCCTGAGTGAGGCTTTTAAGAGATGCATTTGGGGCCTTGGCTGGGCCTGTGGTGCCAGAATGGTCTCTGATTAACATTGCTTGTGACATGAAAACTCCTAGGTTTCTTGTTTGTCTCCTTCAAATCAACATGTATGCAGAGTTCAATTTGGAACAAAGAAGACAGTAAACAAGAAGCAGTTGCACCTTTCCAGCATGCTGGGGAGAATCCACCCCATCCTAGGGACCAAGAACTCCCTTGGCACTTGTCCGAGTAGCCCTTAGCTCTGCGGGTCAGCTGAACTCCCAGGGCCTAGTATGGGCATGGAACATAGTGGCAGCCTAATGAATGTTTGTTGGGTGAATCAATGAATGACTAAAAGGAGACTAGAAGCACTGTCTCAGCTTGGGAGCTGGGGGTGCCTCCTCCTTCAGGGCCTAGAGGTGGTGGCCACTGCAGTCCTGCCTGCCTTCTGTCCAGCTTCTCCAAGCTCTGGCAGGACTGAATAGCAGTATAATGGGAACAGGTGGGGAGCTGGCATTAACCATCAGGACATCTCCGGTCAGTTGGTCAGTCGGGGCCTCCTGGCTTTGTTATTCTTTGTGTTTCTACCTCCCAGGCAGCCAGCATCATGCCCACAGTGTCTTCCTGGCCTGCCTTCCTCTCTCAGATGTGGCCTGAAAATGTCCAGGTGACTCATGAATTCTCCAGCTGCCTTGGGGGACCCAGGTTCCCATTTCAGAAACTCCAGCTTCTGGAGTAGTTGGGTTAATCTTAGTTGATATTTTCAGAGCCTGGAAATGGTTCAGTCCCAATCTTAGACCAGGCCTGAAAGGACTCTGGGAAAATGACAGAAAGGTCATACCTGGGCCAGGAAGCCCAGGAGCCCCATGGAGCCCATGGCTGGGGATGCCCCCTGCATGGGAAGCAAGACCTGCTCTGGAACCAGTAATTCTCTGTTGAGTTTCAAAATGGTGCAGGCAAAGTGTCTCAGATGTGTAGCCTCAGTGTCCCTTCTCCTCTATGCCAGCCCCAGTCCTAATGTTCAGGAAGCCTGAGGCTCTCGCCTGGGTCAGCCCCTTGGCGGCTTGCTTTTCTGCAGCTCCAGTAGCTCCTCCCTGGCACCCTTGGCCCCTTGCTTGTTTTTCTTTTATGAGACTCTGAATCATGCTGAGCACTGCCCCTATTCCATCCTTCTGTCACGGGGCTGCCAGCACGGGGCTGTGATGTGGAGCAGATTCCAGTGAAAGTTTGGAGTAACGCGGGGATGTCAGGGCAGGCAGGGGGTGGTGTCACAGCATAGAGCAGTTGTCAAGGCAATCCATCAACCATCCCTGGCCACGGGGGTTGTCTAAAGGCGTATTTTCCCCACCTCTCAGCCCCTGTCTCCCTGAAGCACTCATCTCCTGGGCTTGCCTTCATCTCTAGAACCCTCTCATTCCTCACTGCCAGCTTCCAAAACCCAAATTCCAATTATTTTCTAACATAGGTTTTCTTGGCTCTCCTTTTGCTCTAGGGTCTACTTCAAGGAAATAACCCTGTGTGTTTTCTTCAACAAAAGAGACCACCTCCTCTTGTCTCTACTCTCAGCAACACAAGGAACTAGAAGAGGCTTTGCGATTTCAGTATTTCTTCTCTCTTTCTCTCCATCTGTGTCCGTGCCTGTCTCTCTGTCTCTGTCTGTCTGTCTCTCTTTCTCCCTCCCTGCATGATTGAACCAGAGCCTCTGCACTGTGCTGCATCCTCAACCCTCCACCCCCTTTTGGAGACAGGATCTTGCTAAGTTTGTCAAATTACCCAGGCTGCTTGAACTTGCCATCCTCCTACCTCAGCCTCCAAGGACCCTGGGATTATAGGTGTATACCTCCACACCCAGTTTACAGTGTTCTTGAACATTATGGGTTTCTTAGGCAGGGCGACCTCTCTCCCCAACCCATTTCCAGGTAGGAGGAGTAAAAGATTTATTCTGAGACTAAAGTGGACCCCTATTTACTCCTGGCTCTGTCAGGAAGCCCCTGGCTTTACAGAGATTTGGGCCCATACGGGCCCTGCCCATACCTGTGTCCAGGGGGCCTGGCCTTCACCTACCTAACTACGGGCTCCACTTCCTGCTTTCCTTAGGACTGATGGGGCCCACAGTCTCTAGTCACCTTGATGCCTTCTCTTGGTGATGGATTTTTGGCTTGTTTGACGATTTCCTTGTTTCAAGTGTGTGTTCAAGGGACTGCTTTGAAGCCTGCAGTTGAGAGGTAGCATTGGAGAGGTGGGCTCTGGAGCCAGGCTCTTCCCTTTTCAACCCGGGCTGAGTTGCTTCACCTGTCTGTGCCTCTGTTGTTTGCACGTGGGCCATGGGTGCTGCCAGCTCGGACCCATGGGGCTGTTGAGAGGGCTGTGGCCAGCGCTGTGTTAGGGAACCAACCCCCCCGCCCCCAGCACTTGACTTACACATGGAAAGCATTGGAGAGGCAGCTGGCAGGCAGCATAAAGTTCTGTGCCCTGATGCTGTTACATGTGTTATATGGTTGCTTCTCTTAAAAATAACAGTTTGTGTGGTGAGGTCAAGTGCTTGCAGCACAGGGAGTTTCCTACCATCCCAGGCCTGTGTCCAGATGAGTGTCTCAGCCGAGAGTGCTGCTAGAGCCGGGGAGTAGCAGCAGTGGCCAGGGTGGATGTCTTAGAGGAGGCATAGCTGGTGTTCCTCTACCTCTGCTCATGCCATTCCCGCCTCCTGGGGTGCCCTTTCTTCCCCTCTTGAGTTTTAGTGCTAAAAGGTCCTTCTTCAGAAATCCCTCTCCAATAGCTGTGGATCATCTCTCGGCTTCCTTCCTTCGGACTAAGCTCCCCTGCTGGAGCGGGAGGGGACAGCCCTCCATCCCTCCCTCCCAGCTCTCCCCAGATGCAGAGGGCTTGGTCAGTGGTTGAGTTTAGGATCCTAGACCAGGAATGAGGAGGCTCTGGGAAAACACACAGGGGGGTTTGGCCTGGGCCAGGAAACCACTTCTTAGTTCTGCTCCGCCCGTGAGTGGGGATTGCCCTGCTTGGTTCGTGCTTTCTGAGGTGGCTCATGATTCCACTCAGGAATCAAATGACACGCTGCCGAGTTTCGAAATGGCAAAGGCAGTTGGAGAAGTGGAGAAAACCCAGATGTGTGCTGCCTCTTGCTACTTGTGGGAGGCGGGATCATGGAAAAGAGGAGACTTCCGGGATGGGCGACAGCTTCCTACTCCTGGCTGGTCCATGCTCCCGACCGCCTCTCCTGGGGATGCGATGCCAGCCTTCCTTGGCTGCCCATCACCCGGTTAGCGAACGGGGCGACTTGGCTCCAGAGACTGCTCTTTTCCCTGTGTCTGCCTCTTTCTCTTTTTCCAGGAAGCACCACACACAGCCTCCTGAGTGAGACAGCTGGCTGTGCCCCAGCAAACCGCTGAGACTCTTCAGCCAGTTCTAATGCAAGTCTCACTCTTTGTTTCCTCAAAGGTTCTTCAGGAGACTTGAAATTCTGCTTGCTGTATCTAGCAGAGGTGAGTCCGTCTTTCGAGTTCTGTGACCTGGTGCTTGAGCGAAGGGCCTAGAGCTTGGAGGCTGATTGGGAGATCCCCGGATGCTGGGCTCCACATAGCTCTGCAGGGGTCCAGGGCCAGTCCCCAGCCATCCCTGCCCCACTCTCTTACCTGTGTGTGAAAGAGCAGTGGTGGGATGGTTTTGGGGTGGCCCTTGAGATCCACTCAAGCCGTCCTGAGCTCTGGCACCTGTGGGTCTCATAATGAGGGCGTGGCCTGCCCTTGTTTACATAGTAGCCTATCTCGGGAGGCTGTCCTAACTCTTACACCTGCTTCTTTGGTCTTTTTATGTTTCCCTCAGAAGTACCACCCATAACCTCTCCTCCAGGGTCTTGCCAGTGTTTCCAAAAACCCAATGGTAACTGGACCTTTACCTGGGCCAGATAGTACAGGCTAATGCGGGCTAACGCATCAATGTCTGTGTTTGGGGCTGGGTGCTTCTCACTCTTGTGACTGAGGCGCTTGGTTATCTCTGTCTGCCCTGGAGCTTCGATGGGCAGTGCTCTGGCTTTGAGAAGTAAAAGCGGGCAAATGACCCATTGCTTGATATGGTTTGGTAAATAAAATATCACAAAACCAGAGGTTTAACCAAAGAGGCCCTTGGTGATGGAACAGTGGAGAGCCACTGAATCATACAAAATCTTTTCAACCTTCAGGGAAGTTTTCATTCCCCCCCTTTTATCTGCTACTGTAATATGTGAGTAGGGTGGTGACTGTTCAAAGCAAAATTTATTAGACCTATTCTTGCCTTTTGTGTCCGCTTAATTTTGCCCAACAGTGCCAGGAATATGATACCCTGGTGGGAGAGTATACCGACCATAATCTGAGGATGGGGTATGGCCAAGAATTTTTATTTTATTTTATTTTGTGGTTTTTTTGAGACAGTGTCTCACTCCATAGTCCAGGTTAGCCTTGAACTCACTGTGTAGCCCAGGCTGGCCTTGAATTCATGGCAATCCTCCTGCCTCAGCCTCCTGAGTACTGGGATTACCAGTATGCTCCATGAATTTTTTTTTTTTTTTTGAGACAGGATCTTGCTATGTAATTCAGGCTGGCCTTGAATTTACTGTGTAGCCCAGGCTAGCCTCCCACTCATGGTTATTCTCCTGCTTTGGCCTCCCGAGTACTGGGATTATAGGCATGTGCCATCACACCCAACAATATAGCCTTTTGAAAAGGATTTTGTGCTCATCTACTGTGGTACACACCCCTAGTCCCAGCTACTCGAGAGGCTGAGGCAGGAGGATCACTAGTTTCAGACTAGACTAGGCAATTTAACAAGAGCTTATTTATTTATTTTTTTAAAGCCCAGTGTTGGGGTACATGCCTGTAATCCCAGCACTCTATGGGGCTGAGGCAAGAGGATTGCAAAATGGAGCCCAGCCTCGGCCATTTGGTAAATTAACGAGACTGTCAGGAAGAAAAAGGTTGTGGATGTAGCTCAGCGCAAAGGCCCAGGGTTCAAGCCCTAGAGGGGAGTGAGGTGGGGGAGAAAAGCATCCCTTCAGTTTTCAGTTCTTGGCAAAGATAAGAGCCACAAGGCTTGGGGCGAGTAGACAGACTCTTGCTGAGAAGTCCCCTTCGGGGAAGCAGAGGGTTCCAAAGAGGCAGTGGATACTGCCCGGGAAGAGCTGGGGACTCAGCCACCTGGAATGCAGAGGGCAGAGGGCGTCCGATGTGCCAGCCGGATCCCTGCTGAGGTGCAGGGAATGGCCAGTGGAGTCACTTCAGTGCTGGAGGCAACTGGTTTGACAGAGCCAAGCAAGCAGGGTGCAGTCGGGAGAAGCTGTGAGCCGGGCTGGGCTCCCCTACCCCCTCTGGAGCTATTACCCTGGATTCCAGTTCTCTGCTCAGCTCCTGAAATGAGGCTCCAACGTTTTTAATGCCAGGAGAGCTTCCTTCCAGGCTGGGTTTGTTTTTCCCAGAGAAAAGCACTTCTGCTCCACTGCATCTGTGACCTCCTGGCTGTCCAAAGATTGATGACGCGATATTGATTTGGAGCCTTTTATTTCAGTAAAGTGCTAGGTGATCTGACCCTGAAGAGCTGGGAGGTTGAAACTCACAGACAGCCAGAAGCCTGTCTTCTCCTAATGGGCTGCTGTTTATGACAGGCAGGGAAGACTAGCTGCCTGCTTGCTCTGTAGCCTGGAAAACTTTGATATGGGTGGACTTGGACCCCACGGAGAGCCCCAAATGGTCATCTTAGAACTTCCGACAGGTGATTCTGTTCATTGCCTGACATGCAGTGACACCCCAAGGAGAAACCAGGGGGAAGAGTTGGGGTTTGGGGAAGTTTTTTCACGTTGCATTGAGAAAGTTCTAGTCGCCTAGGTGATAGCAGCTCTAATTATTCCTAACTGCCAGGTCCTGGGCAAGGTTTCCCTAAGCAGTCCTTGGCTCTGGGTCCCTAGTCCCCTGCACAGGTATCCCTCAGCCCTTGTGAATCACGGGACAGATACAGCCCATGGCTGGCTTTGGGGCACTCAGGGCATTGGGTCAATGGACCTATTGGTCAGACACATGTGGTCAGACAATGGACCTATGTGGTCATTCTGCCATCTAGAATCTGATGCTGGCTTCACTTATTTAAGAGTCTGGCTTTGCAGTTAGGAAGACCTAGATTTGAATCTTGGCTCTACCATTTCCTGAATGATCTGGGGGCAAGGCACATTCTCTTCTCTGACACAAGGCAATAAGGCCAACCATGAGGGGTTGTTGTAATGATTAAATGAGATTCAATAAGACACTGCCTCCAAGTCCTTAGCACAGAGCCTGGCACACATTGCTCAGTGAATGGCAGCTATTATTATCGCCAGCTTCACGGCAGGAAGAAGGGCTTTTCATATTCATTTACCCTCCATTAGAGGGTTTCACAAATGATTTATTGATCTTTTTAAAAAGCAAGGAGGAATATCTCACATTCTTTGCAATGCATGTACACAGTTATACAAATACGGCAAGATCACAGGCCCTGGAAGAGGCAGAAGACAGCTGTGAATCTCTGTGTGACAACCCACCGAGCCTTAGTTTGATGATCTGCAGAAAGGTGAACAGCTAGACCTTTCCTTCCCACCCCTGTCATGGCATCATCAGGAGACCCAAATTGAATGAGAGCATGCTTGTCACAGCAAATGAACATGCTATGGTCGTAGCTGAAGGGCTTTATAAGATAGAAATAATTCAAGAGCAGGGAGGTTAGCCAACACAGTGGTAGAGAGGCCAAGAGGAGCTGGGTATCAACTGGATTTGAGTGCTGTTAGATGGGGTTTGTGCGGCTGAGGGGTCCGTACATGGCTGACCACCCTGAGTTAGAAGGTGTGGCGTTTGAGGGCCTTTGAGACAATGCCTTTGGGGCAGCCTTGACTGTGAAGCCTGATAATAAGAGCACAGTACAAGCTATAGTTTAAATCAGCAAGGTGGATTGAGAGAAGTGATTCCCGTGTGAGGAAAGCCAGGTAGGCAGTGCCCCCCGCCTTTGACAGATTCAGGGGGATGGGAATTCAGCCTCTATGGAGGGAGCTGGCTCAGTGCCCTTCTTCTCTTGGCCATGCCAGTCTCCAAAGCTCCAGCTCCTAAAAATGTTCTTCCATCCATGACAGCCAGCTGCCCACCCTGGACCAGGCCTGGCTTTAAGTCCTATGGCCTAGAAGCCTTCTGGGTCCTCTAGCATTCTAGAAGTTTTTAGCTCTAAGCCTGCAGAGTCAGGGATCCAGTCCTGCAGTCTGCTGTGGGGACAGGCAATGTGGTTTCCATCCCTGATGGGAAAATACGGCTTCCAAGGGCAGCATTGACCTCGGTGTCTTTAGCATCTCATTTAACCATTACAAATGATCTGGTTGCCACCCCAGGCAGAGCAACACGGCTGATCAAAGGTGTGGTTCTTATGGGTGTCAGCAAAACAGAATGATGACAGCTGCTAGTTTTTAAAAGGTTGCTGGAAGAAACACCAGGGCACCACTGGTAAAGTGCTAAGTACCGTGAGGGCCCTGGAGTGTGAGGGGCTGTCTCAGGATTAGGAATATGTAGCCGGGTTGCTATGAAAGAATCCTTGGGGAGACTTTCTCACAGTTCTGTAGGGAGGGGACTGTCACTTGGAACATGGGGCACTTGTACAAAAAGCTGTCAGTGACCTCTGAGTTGTTTAGAGACCAAAAGGGCCTGAGCTTTCTTCTGCTGGCTTGGTGCTCTGGTTGCCTCCAGGCCCTGTCTGCAAGAGACAGCAGTCCTGCCAGCCAAGTGTGTGGCCACCCCAGGTTCCGGAGGTCAAATCTCAGCAAATGATTCTCTAAGGCTCAGCATCTACCCTCTGGGCTCTCTGGCCCTGAGACTCAGGGAGGCCTTTAGCCACTCAGCCTAGATTTTCCTCTCGGATAAAATAGGAATAGCAATCCATGCCCTCCCTGCCTCTTCAAGGAACTGTCAAGATTAAAATGAGATCATGGGTGGAAAAGTGCTTTTAAAAATTGATAATTGGATAACAGGAATTATTATTAAGGCAGAATTCCTACTTCAGAGCAAAAGACACCGAGGCTGAGCCAGACTGAAGAATTTGCTGCAGCCTCCAGGGCTGATTGAAAGCACTGCTGGGAGGCTGAGGGCAGGGCCAGCCGTGTGGAGTGAGGGCCTTTCCAAACCGGAAGGGAGCGCAGTCCCCACCTACACTTCCCTTCGCTGGGCCCTGCCGTGAAACAGGAAGCAGAGGGTTTTCCCTGGGGAATCTTGGGCTCTTTTGCTGGGTGGGTCCTGCACCTTCCCCTGCAGTGAGTGGGAGGGTTCTGGAATCAGGGAGCCCTCAGTGGATAAGGAAGGATTGCCTCATGTCCCTACCTAGTGCCTCGAGGCCTGCACCAGGCAGGGTTTTCTTCCCTTCTCTTCCCATGCTTTTAGGAAGATGAGCTTCTGAGTACTTTTCCCACAGGAGAGGGTGGCACCTAGGGAACACAGCATGAGAAGTGGCCCCACTTGACACTGAGGGCTGGATTGGATGCAAGATAGAAAAAGTTCCCAAATGTGCTATTAGATGATGTCAAGAACTTCTTAGCGCAGGTGTTTGTGGTTGCTGTTCTTTCTGCTGGGAGTAATTCCCAAGCTTGCTCTCTCTCTCCTTTCTTTCTTTCTTTCTTTCTTTCTTTCTGTCTGTCTGTCTGTCTGTCTGTCTTTTGTTCTTTCTGTCTTTCTCTTTCATTCTTTTTTCTGTCTCTTTCTTCTTTCTTTCTCTCTCTCTCTCTCTCTCTCTGTCTCTCTGTCTCTCTCTCTCTCTGTCTCCTTCCCCCCTCCTCCCTTCTTTCCTTCCTTTCTTTCTGGGTTTTCTTTTGGTATTTGGATACTAGGCATTGAACCCAAGGAATTCTGAGCTATACCCACAGCCTTTTTATTTTATTTTGAGACAGGGTCTTTCTAAGTTGCCCAGGCTGGCCTGGAATTTTCCATCTTCCTGCCTCAGCTTTCTGAGTAGCTGGGACCAGAGGTATGCACCACCACACCTGGCCCAAGCACTTTCCCTGCAGTCTCCCTCTATTCATTCAGGCGTTAGCTCCAGTGTCAGTCCTTCTCAGAGTTCTTCTCTGACCATCTCAGCCTCCCCCTTTATGACCTTGGTGACATTTGCACAATTTGTAATTATATTGTTTACTTAATTGTTTATTGTGCACCCCCCCAGCGTAGGGGCTTAGTCTATCTTTTTTACCTCTTTATCCCCTGCCTTGCATAGTCTCTTACACATAGTGTGTGCTCACTAAGCATTTACTAAATGAACAGATTACTGAGTAATAACAACAGCTGCTGTGTGCAGAGACAATGCTGGGATTGTCCTCATTGCTTGTCCTCCTAATGGCTCTGGGATATAGAGGACATTATTATCAATCCCATTTTACAGAAATCTCCCCAGGTTGACAGCTGGGAAATGGCAAAGTCTGTCTAACTGCAAAAGGAGGCAGGACCACACAGGAACCAGGTCTTTTTCTCTATTCCAAGCCCTCCGGCTTGTGCTGTTCGATCCCTGGCTGAGCTCATGAAATGCAGCCCTGTGAGGTTATAATCAAATTCCGCAGAGTCAGAAAGAGCTTGCCATGCCCTGATCTGAGCGCCTGGTGGGGGTTGGTAACCCTGGGCTCCTGGCCCCACCCTGCCTGCCCCCTGTGTGTGCTGATTGCTCAAGGGGCCTACTCCTGGTGCTGCGCTGGTGCTGGCCTGGATCTGACCTCACATCCCGGAAGTTCCTCCAGCAGCCAGAGCTTACTGAGGCCAGCATTTGCACGCCTGGTGCCAGGCCCAGATGCAAAGGGCCTCCTAGAAGGAGTTTATAGTCTCACTGGTGGCATTTAAATGATAGCTGTGCCAGAGATATTGCTGCATCTAATGGGGTTGAATGGTCCTGATGAGACCCTGCTCACAGGCCAGGCAGTGGTGGGCTGCAGAGGGGCACACGACTGCCTCCAAGCACATTTCAAAGGGACTTGACTTGTTGCTTGGGTTCCGTTGGCATGTCCCTTCAACCCATGTAACCTTGACCTCGTGATCCCAGGAGTGTGCAGAGAGCGGGAGGGGTTCTGTGAGCTGAGGAAGGGTCCTGGCTCCTCAGAACATCAGCTGGAAGCCTTGGCGCTCTGGGTTCTTCCGAGCTCCCCAGCTGTGGTCCTGTGCTGTTGGCCAGGGGTGACCTCACCATCTCTGGCCTGAGCTCTCCACAGGCTTCTATTGTATGGGGAGCCACTGCCTCCCTCCCCTCCCCCAACCTGTGGCCCAGGCTCCCTAGCTGGCTCCCAACTGCTCCCCTGCTGCTCCAGGTGCCTCCATGTCCCCTGGGGTTAGTGTGCATTTGTGGCTCTGAGCGGACACACCCTTTCTCGCGGCCTCGCCCTCTGGAGCCTGGGGATGGGCTTGGGCCCTGGAGCCCCTCAATCTGAGCCATCCGGGGAGCAGCCCTGACCATCCCTTTCTCTCTTTTCCCTGACGTCAGAAGGCAGAGTGCTTATTCACTTTGGAGGCACACTCGCAGGAGCAGAAGAAGAGAGTGTGCTGGTGCCTGTCGGAGAACATCGTGAAGCAGCAACAGCTGGCAGCCTCACCTCCCAAGAGGAAGGTAAGGGCCTTGCCAGCCGCTGTCGGCTGTCGCCCTTGCTACCTTGCAGCCTGGCCTTTGAGCCTCTCAACTGAGCTAGGAGTCAGCTCAAGCTCAGCCCGTGAAGCTGGGCATCGAACTCTTGGCAAGGGGCCTGTTCCCCAAGGTTTCTCCCCCTGGGCTTTTCCTCATGTCTGTTGAGCGGGTCTGACATTGCTTGGGTACAGCAATAGAGCCAAATTGACCATGGCTCATCAGTTCTCAGCTCTGCTTTTTGGTTTGCCTGTGGCAAGGTTTAATTTGGGCCGGCCTCCCTGCTGCTCCCTGGCAGGCAGCCCCCTTCTGCCACTGGGGAGGCCATGCCCAGGGCCAGCACACTGGTGTTTAACACTGGCCCAAGGCAGATGTAATTGAGGGGATGTTTGCAGCAGAACCTGTCATAGTTTAATGTAGGTCAGAACCAAATGGAGCCAAATTTGGACTGCTGGGGGCTGGGACCGGCCAGCTGGTGTGTCAGGGAAGATTAGAGACTGCGAGGGGAGAGGCTGATGTGGGCTTGGTCCTGCTCAGCGCCTGGGGAGGGTGATGGGGTGGGAAGCGGATCCTTGACACCCTGATGCCTGCCACACAGCAGTTGTACGCTCCCATTTGTGAGAGTTCAGGTGCCCTTTCTTGTGGAAAGTGCTGACTATTAGGGGATTTGGTTGCTGCAGAAGTTGCCGAGGTGGTCGCTCTGCCAGGGTTGCGGGGAAGGAAGGAAATGAGAGGGAGTTAGAGCCTGTGAACTTGCTGTCCTTGTTGCTTCTCAGTGTGTCAGGCTCACTGTGCCCCATGCCCCAGGCTTTGGGTAGGAGGTGGGAAGAGGTGGCAACTAGTCTCTCCTACAGCTCCCCAGCAAACTGAGAAAGGAGAGAGACTCGGAGGGTCACAGCATCCCAGACTTTGAAAGTTACCTTTTTTCACACTGGCCAGAGACCAGGACAAGGGAAGACAGTGGGACCCCTGAGTCACACTTTCCTGCTGACTGGCAGTATGACTTTGGGAGTCACTCTACTGCTCTGTTTTTTCTAATTTGGGGACATTATTTCCTTCCCTCAAAAGTTATAAGAAGCAAAGGAGAAGATGCATATATAGCTCATCACACAGTGCCTAGTATGTAGTAGGTGCTCAGTTAATCAAGCTATGGGGTGTACACTGCCCCTACCTACCACCCAGGGGCACTGGCTGGACCCATTGTCAGGTTTCTTTTCTGCACAGAGACCTGTCACCATGGCCACAGGCTGCCTTGCCCCATCGACCTGGAGTTGGCCACTGCCAGAGTCTGGGCTGCTCTCCCTTCATTGGCGCAGCTCCTGGACATCAAATATCTGGACAAGCGCCAGCCCCCACCTCCTGTCCCACTCTCTTTTCTTTGGGGTTAGTTATTCTGTTCTGGGGAGAGTTCTTTGTGCCTGGGCTTCAGAGTTCACTGGCTTTGGAGGTGTTGGCTTCAGCGTTGCAGTGCCTAGGAGACTGACTATCCAAGGGGCACGAAGCTGTGCTTGCCTGGGGCCAGGCAGGTCTGAGACAAGCTCTGGGTCCTGCAGGGCTTTGGATGTGCCTGGCTAACCCTCAAAAGGATCCAGGGTTGGGTACTGGCTTTGGGGCCACACCAAGTTACACGGGCATCCCGGGCAAGCAACAGTTTGGACACCTCGTCACACAAACTCTTCAGACTTGAGGTTAGTGGAGAGGTTGTGTTCTGGGCAGGGAAAGCAGAGCGGGGCCTAACCGCCGGGACAGCCTCAGAACCACCTCCAGGGCCTGCGACCTGCTCCCCCAGACGTGCACGCACCCTTGGCCCACCCTTTTTACATGGCAGTTGTGGAACTGGGGATCTTACTGCTCGGTCTTTCCCATCCCCACCTCCGCTATATTCGCTTAGAGTATTAGCAATTTATTCCTCGCAGTGACTTACAGAATGCTTCTTGAGAGAAGTTCCAGTAAATCTAACTCTCCACTGTATATGAGTCCAGAGGTATTTGGGGGCTTTAGCGAGTAGGCCCAGGTGGTTGCCCAGCCTGCCTACCCTTTCACCTGCCTCTGCTCAGCTTCAGGGTGACCATGAGCCCCCTTCATCCGCCTGTGCTCAGTCTCAGGGGGACCATACAGCTCCTTCACTGTCCTCCAGGGGTTGAGAAGAAGGCCACGCAGAGCTTGGAGTACTTTTGCTTTTCAGACATGAAAGTCCTGCTTGACAGATGCCTTGAGTACTGGCTGAGCCATGTGCCTGTCACTCCTCCCTGTGCTCCTTGGGGAATGCTCCATCTTCTACAGGACAGGGGACACTTGCCTAAGCACCCACCCTACTCAAACACCTCCCAGGGAAAGAAGAGTTTGTAAGGCAACTCCTCAATCTCCACACTCTCCCTTCCCAGCCCCAGCCCCTGCTCCTTCCAACGGTGTTGCTAATCCTTGAGATGGGGGGAGGGGGCGGGGTTCTGCGCCATCTCAAGGATGGGAAAACTCTTCCCAAATTCACAAACTATATAATTGCCCTGAATGACATGGATGGTTGTTTGGGAGGATGGAAGGAATAGGGAAGGATAGACTCAAAGGACAACAGAGGGGGGCCCTGGTGTCACCATCTGTTGTGTGAGCTTTGGCAACCACTTCCTGCCGTAGCCTCAGTTGGTCCCGTTAGCACCTCAGTTGGTCAAGTAGCTGTTTCTGACTTTTCAAGCTTTGGGATTATGAAAGCTGAGAGCCTGGGGCCATCTGGTCTCCATCAAGGAACCATACCCTGAAAAGCTCTGTGTAACTTGACTTTAGTGATATGCGCTGCCTGTGGGATGGGGGTAGGGTTAGGGCAGGCATAGGTTTTCTGGGCCGTGTCCTATGGTTTGGCAGTGTGGGCCCCCAGCTGTGGCAGAATAGACTTGTGAGGCAGGTGTAGCCACTCAGCCTGCCTTCCTGGGGGCTCTGTTGCCTTTCTCCTGTTCATCCTTCATGATCGCTATAGGTAGGGGTGGCTGTTTTGCAGAAATAAATGACCAGCTGCCTCTTCTGTTCCAGCTGGCCTTCTCCTGCTCAGCACCCTTTCTTCCCCTTCAGAGCTCTGCCCCACTCTTGCTTTGAGTTACGAGTCCCTGGAGGGCATCCACTTTTCATTTTCAGCCTGGATAACTCGTACCATGTTCCTTGCACTAAACCCCCAGCACTTCTGGGAAGCTTCTCATTTAGATCAACTCAGAGCTGGTCCCCCTGTGGCCAGTGAGGTTCCAAAGGTAGAGAGGCAGATGCATATTATTTTGGTTATCCAATCAAATATACACAAAGAATGCATTCTCTGTGCCGCAAACTGGCTTAGATCCTTTGGGGTCACACTGATGAATGAAACTTGGTCCCTGTCCTTATGGAATTCTCCTAATGGGGGGATATGATAAAGGTATCAGGGTGGTGATCCAAGTGTTAAAGGCCATGCCTGCCAACCTAAGGTCTGGTGTGGAGGGTCCTGAGTGTCATTCATGGTCTACACAGTGAGCGTCCTGCTGTGCAGCTCCACGTACGCAGGCTGGGCTGGGCTCCAGGAAGCCTTCTGAGCCCCCAGCACTCAGGGACAAGAAGTGGGTGGGGTGCAATGCAGCGGACCGGACCCACCCTCAGGGAGGGATCTGGGTTCCTCGGGTCAGTGGTAGGAACGCACAGAGGAACCTGTCACACTCTGTGCTCAGGAGATCACAGTGCGGTGGTGGAGGCAAATATGGCAACAGTTAGTTCAAAACAGCACAGTAGTGAAGTGACCTCAGGCGAGCCACCTGGCCTGTCTGAGACTTGAGCATTTCATCAGTAAAGCGGATGCATCAAGAGGGCTCTTGTGAGGCTTATACTTGTAATGTGCTGGGCAGAGTGGTGCATGAGAAGACCTCTGGGAGCTGGCTGCTGCTCTCATTCTGTCACTGCACTGTAAGTGATGTCTGTAGAGGAAGAGTCATCTGGTGTCCTTGTTTATGGAAGTTGATGCTGGTGCTCTGAGCACACGCGACGACTGCTCCATGCCACTTCCCGATAGCTACCTGCTGGATTCCAGGGCCCCGGCGGGGAAACTGAGACCTCCTGGGTCTGCCCTGACTGTGAGACTTCTCCTAGATGTGATGCTGAGGTGTGTGGCACTTTGTCATCTCCCCTCTGACAGCTAGAGATGGGCCTCAGAGATACCAGGTACTGAGTGCCTTAAAAAGGAACGGAGGCAGGTCTTGGAGTCAGGCAGCCCTTGCCTGAGTAGACAGCAAGCTAATTCCAGTTCTGTCTGGTTCCACAGAAACTCCACCCTTACGGCTCTCTCCAGCAGGAGATGGGGCCGGCCAACTCCACCAATGCTACCCAGGATAGAAGCTTTACCTCATCAGGACAGACTCTGATTGGCTGAGTAAGCCCAAGGGCGGGACTCTGCTTCTGGCAACTTAACCCTTTCTGGGGCGTCCCCTACCACACAGTAACCTCACTGCAACTGGACCCGAAGCGGAGGACCAAGATGGTGGGCCTAGGGTCATCTTCAGGGAGTGGTCCTGAGAGTGTGTGTGGACTGGCAACAGGAGGAGCAGTGGTGTGAGAGGCCGTGTGGGCATGTGCAGACTGGCAGCAGGAAGTTCCTGATGCAGAAGACTCAGAAACTTGTTCCCTCCAAGGAGAAGGAAGCTAAATGGCATCTGGACACCCACCTTGGGGGCAGCAGGAGACTGGGAGAGGTCACCCTGATGGAGAACAATGCCGTGACCTGGGTTGCCGAAGATATCTCCGCCCATTCACTCATTCTTCATCTGGGCACATTCATTTGTTCATCCGTGGATATCTGAAGGCATCTCTTTCGTGGTGGGCTCTGTGCTAGGAGCTTGGGGATACTTTGGAGAACCAGATGGACATGGCTTTTGCTCTCATCAAGATTCCAGTCCTAGTAGGGAGTGAGCATTAAATAAATCAACACCAGCACTCACGTGATCATACCCTGGGAGAGGTTGTGCAGGAACAGAGCAAATGCCTTTAGAGGACATTATATCTAGATTGCTCCATGTAGGGGTGCAGCTAGGGAAGGACATAGCTGAGACCTTCGGGCTGGAAAGGAGCAAGCCAGCCAAGGACTTGGGAGAGAGCGTTCCAGGTAGATGGGACAGCGTGCAAGAGTTCCTGAGATGGGAAGGAGCGTGGCATGCTGGAGAAGCCAGGAGAGGCCAGTGTGGCTACAACCCAGTGAGGAGGGAGGAAGGAAGGCCAGGCTGTATCGGACTCAGGAAGTGAATGTTTTGTTAATTTCATTATAGATGAAGTGGGGATCCATGGAAGGCCTTTGAGGGAGTGATACATGCTCAGGAACATTTCTACAAGATCTGATGGCAGATAGGAGGGGATCAAGTAGGCATGGGACTGTTAGGCAACCCCTCGGTCCATCACCTATAGGGTGATGGCCTTATCCTGGAGTGGGGCTGGGGTGTTGGGCATGTGAATGTCGGACTCTGGGATGAGAAGAGATGATTCCCTTCTCTGTTCTACCATCTGCCCTCATCCTCCACCTAGTCTTGCTGCCTTGGTGGTTGTGAGTGAGACCTGGGGCCTCCTTCACAGAGCTGTTTCTGGCCAGGCCTGAGCTAGGGACCAGTGCTGAGTTCCTGGAGAGTCCCTGGAGTTGGGGGTGCTGAGTACTCAACCTGGTTCCTGGGCCTCTGCAAGAGCTACCTGTGCTGCCTCTCCCTGCTGTGCTGGGCTGTCTGACAGAGAGCTGGAACTCAGTGCTCTGACAACTGACTGGGTTTTCTTTCTGTGGGGCTCTTAAGGGTCAGGGACCGGGACTGGGTATGGCTCAGCAACTCCTGTGGAAAGCATCTTGCCTCAAGGTGACAGGAAGACCTACCAAGGGCAGGGGCTGAGAGCCCAACCCACTTGCTGCCTGCTGTAGCCTTAGCTAAAACTCGGGGTTGGGCAGTTCTTATACCTTTTCTAACTGCTAAGACTTAGGAGAAGGGAAGCCCACAGTTACAGATCTGAGAGACATGGTTCGTGTACAAAAGGGGTCTACATGACGGGGTCGTTCGCATAGGCAAAGAGGCCAGAGAGGCTGGAAAGACGGTTTAGGCCAGAGAAGCCCGTGGTCATAGACATGCTCTGTGTTGTGTAAGACCTTAGTGTCTTTAGAGAAGGTTTTTGTATCCTTGTGAGTTTGCTCAGCTGCTGTGGCCAGCTGAACCCCCCAAATGGTGCCATAGGAGAGAATATGTTTCTTACCTTCCACGTGGGAAAGATCAGGCACGTTGGTACAACTGTCTAGCAGGGGATGGGATGGCTCCACTGGTGACCAGGCTGATGCCTCTGCCCAGAAGGAGACAGATGCTGCCTGGATAAGGACAAGTGCTTCACAGCATCTCTGCACACCAGGGCTCGGCCCACAGGGTGAATTTGAGCAGCTGAGCAGCTGGGTCTGCAGAGACAGCAAGCTGCACTTTGATTTCATTTGGTTCTCTTACAAAATGACATTAAGGGGAATGCGAGGCACAGGAGAATCATGTGTCTGGGGAGGCAGTGAGCTTGTCTGTCCTGGGCCTGGTGACCTGCTTCTGTCCAGCAGACAGGTTTAGAGCACAGGCACTCTGGCCTCAAAGAAAAGGAGATTCTGAATGCAGCAGCCATCCCTGGGGACAGGACTTTCCTCCCAGCTGGTCCTGACAGTCTGCCGAGTGGACCATACCCTCTCATCAAGGTCCCAGGCCGGCCAGCTGGTGGAGAGGTGGACATGCGCTCCTGCTGGGCCCTGGGCTGGTCTGCCCCACCACTGTGGTGAGCCACAGCACCATTGCTGCTCTGCCTCGTGAATCAGTGCAACTTTTAATTTGGCTCCACTGGCTCGTGAAGATGAAATATGACCTGGTGGCCACTGCTCTGCAGCATCCGGGGCCATCCCAGCTGTTCGAGATGATGAACAAGCTATCGCAATTGTATCTGAGAGTCATAATCACGGGAAACACGGTCAGGCCCCGCCCCACCACATAAATCACACGAAGAAGCACACAATGGCCTTTTTCCTGATGGGCCAATTGTCTTGATTTGGTGTCTCAGGGCCTCGGAGCTGGGAGGGTGGGAGAACAACTATGTATTGTCAAAAAGGCCATCTGTGCAATTCGAATACAAAGTGGCTCATTTAGTTCCCCACACACCCTCTGATCCTGTTTTCATGTGTCTTATGTCTCAGGCTCTGAGCCTCTTGAAACACTTGTCTCTCCTCTGTGCTGTCATGCCTGAGTCTTTTGGCCTTTCGGCAGTTGGGACAACATGGACCCTTTGGAAATAATGATACTGACTGGTGTATGTCTTTTTTTTAATTCTTTATTTTAATATTTTTTTCTCCTAAATTCTGCCACGAAAGCCCTAATTTGTCACACATGCTATCAAGGCATCAAGAAGGTTCTGCAAAGGGGAGGGACAGGCAGTTTTGCAACATGGTAGGGTTCCCACAGCATGTACTTTAGAGATGGCAGCCTGGGTCCCCCGACATCATTTCCCCTAAGCCTCTTGGCAGCCTCATTTTATGGACAAAGGTGACCAGGCTCTGAGAAGTTAAATGACTTATCCTAGGTCACACAGCTGGTACACGGCTGAATCATTCCTTAAGCTCAGACATTCCAGCCTAATCCATTGCTCTTTCTGGATATAAAGCTTTGCTTTTAGGAATGGAAATAAGAGAAGTCATTCATTTAATCTCGAAAGAGGCAGAAGGCAATTCCTAACAGGTACCAATGGGTACCAGAAGTGGTGACCCACCTAGCTGTAGAGGGAATACTTTCTGGACAAGTAAAATGAGATTTCTTTTCTCTACTTGGCAGAGAACTTCTAGTTCTTTTAGTATTCAACTCCTTGTGGGATGGCACAGGCTGGAAAATCAGTTGCTCCCTGCAAGAGGTGAAAAGAAGTCTGATGTGAAAGGCAAGACTGAGCTCCTAAGATGGGCTCCCAGGCGGTGCTGGAATGGTTGGGTTATGCCCTTCCCCTTGGGAGTCTGGCATTCAAGAGGACCAGCTGATGCAGATATGTTTTCAGAGGCAGCAAGAGACGGCTTTAGGCTCAGGCCTGGCTGTCTGAGCATCAGTGCAGGAGGAGGTTTTGACCCGAGCCCAGCTGAGAGGCTGCCGCTCCTGGCTCCCTCTGCAGGGTTTTGTGCCCAGATTTTGCTAATTGGCTGACTTAAGATCTCAGCTCTAAGTAACTGAGAAGCAAATGGATTGCATTTCAGCCCTCGCTCCAAAGGAGCAACCTCTTTTCTCGAATAGGGGCAACTGTTTTCCAGGCAGCCCAGCCTTCCTGCCTCTCTCTCGCGCTGCTGGTCTGGCTGTGGGCAGACTGCCTTGTTTGCTGTCTTGCTCTTCTTTTTCCTCATAGGGAACAGAGAGCTGCTCTACTCAGGACTGCTTTGTCCTTCTCTTTCCCTGAGCCTGTCTCTGAAGAGAATTGCTTGCCATCCTCCCAACTGCTCCCAGATCTTTGGTTTAGGGCAGAGGAGTGACGACACTAGGTAATTTAACGAGCACTCATACTGTAAGCCAGGCCTGGAGTGAAGCTTTTGATGCATATTGTCTCTTTTTATCCTCACTATAGCCTTATGAGGTTTATTGTCCTATTGTACGTTTACTCCCATTGTACCCACTTTGCAGATGAGGATGTTGAGTCTTAGAGAAGTTAAGAAACTTGCCCAAGGTCACACAGCTGGTGACTGGCTAAGACTGCAATCCAGGGCAGCCTAGCTCTGACCCTTCTGTTCAACTGCTGGGAGGGACTGGGGAGGCTGGGCAGTCCCGCTACTACCTAAAGGCCATCGAAGGAGGTGTGATCTTCCACATAAAGCCCGGCTCTCCATTTGGCCCTTGGCTGCACTGCCTTCCTGCTTTGCTCTTGAAGCCTGGCTACGCAGGGCAATTTCACCTTCTCCAAAGTCCCTGTGCCCATTCATATGGAGGCTGTTTCTTCTCCCTGGTGCTGCCCAAACATCTTTGCCGTTCCTGCCAGCTGCAGTCTTCAAACTTGCAGGCTCAACACCTTTCTTAGGCATGCATCAGAGGCCATTGCTTCCCCTGTCCTTTCCCAGAGGATTTTGGTCATCCTTAGCATGGTGTGTCAGGCAGATATACAAAGGGTGATGAAAATATACAGTGAACAGGTGTCTCGAAGGAAAGTCCTAGTGTATGCTGGATTGTTTGTGCTGAAGCTGAAACTTTCTTCTAGAAAGAAGATAGCAAGTTAGACAGTCCAAGGCTGGGTAGGGAGGAAGAGGTCCCGGGAAAGGAGTACAGGCTGTGGGGAGGGAAAGTACGGGAACAGCAGGTCTCTCATGAGTTAGCAGGGTTCCATACCAATAAATCCCTTCCCTAAACTCTACATGTATGCTTGATATCAAAAGTCCTTATGTGTGCATTATGTAAAGTGTGATCAAAATATCAATGAACTTTTAAGGTAAAATGTGTTACGGTGAAAGATACACTGCCATTAATCTCCCTCAAAATATTCCCTCTAAGTGTGTTTCCACCATACTTAGCCCATCATTCTTGCCACTTTCTGAAGCTTTTCTGGAAGTCCCATCCTGTGAATGTCTTTACAAGGTCTGATAAAAAATACAGCGAATGCTATTGCCAAGTGCCACCCGGTAGAGAGGCAGGTTTCTCTGAACATTACGGTATGTCCTCATTCACTTCATTCATCAGATCTAGTACTATGTGACTACTGGCTTTTCCCCAAAGCCAATATGACTACGAAAGGTAAACATTTTGAATCAAATCAGAGCACTGAGGCAGTCACAACAGTGCAACTAAAGATGCTCATGAAAGAGGACTTGCAGAACTGCTTCAGAATATGGCAAGAATGGTGGGAGAAGTGTGTTCGGAGTGAGGGGATTAATGGCAAAGTGTCTTCTACTGTAATAATTTTTTTTTTTAAATGTGAGAATTCACTGGATTTTTTGAACACGCCTCATACACTGCCTGCAAGACTGAGAGCTGCCTGAGAACAAGTGGAGAGCACATTTGACTTGTTTTTCATTCTGTTATTGCCCGGTCCATAGCAGGTGTTCAGTAGATGTTGGAGAATCGAGTTGAACTACTCAGTTCAATCCTCCTATGTTTAGAACATAGGTAAGGAAACAGTACCTAAAAGGGGAACTGACCTGGACAAGTTAGTATCAGAGCCAGGAGTAGACCTCAGGTCAGCTGACTCTCTTGGTTGAGAGTTGTTTTTTGTGTGCAGCTGCCACAGCAGGCGTGGATCCCCACTTGGCTTGTGAAGCAATCTGGCCGAGTTCATATCAGGATCATGGGTACTATCATATTCTCCTGCTGGTGTGGGACATCCCCTGAGAAAAGGATGCCTCATAAGAACTGTCCCATGGTTCTTGTCTCCAGATTTTGGGCCTCCCCACTCACTGTGCATTTTGCCTCCAAAAAATCAGAGCAGGGTTCTGAAGTAAGAGCAACCAGAGACGGCTAGTTCTTACTGTGTGACCTCAGACAAATAACTTCACCTATCAGGTCATCTCTTCCTTACAAAGAAAAATGAAGGAGCTCAATTCCAGGTGTTCTCTAGGAATCACCAGGTCCCAAACCATTAGGATAAAACAAGAAAGATCAGAATAGAGAAAGGGGGAGACCCTGATCTAGTGCAGGAATTGGTTTTGTTTCTTTATCATAGGCACTGTCTCTAGACACGGGCCCAGTCCCTTGAAACAGTTCTGTGTGGGATTTCAGAGGGGAGAATGGACAGGGTTTAAAGCTTCAGGGTAAAGCTTTAATGGCTAAAAGAAGGAAGGAAACGGATATTATGAAACAGGACTGTGTGTATGTGGATATATGTAAATGTATCTGGTTAATATTCATCGTACACTTGTAACACGTAAGTTTAGAGATCTTGTACAAAGAGGGATCTTCATCTCAGACACTCAAATTATAAACTCACTCCTGCTTCCTCCGCATCCAAGGTGCCTCTTCCAGCTCTTCCGGGAAGACCAGCACAAGGAACTGACCAACCTAGTACCTTTACCATCCTTCCCTGCTTTCTGCTCAGGTGGCTGGGCACATATGGGACTCTTGTTTGAACTTCATGTATGCTCTCTAACCTTTCCAACTACTAGTTTATTTTTACAAGCTAACTGTATTTACAAGCTAATTTTCAAGTAGACTATGTATTAAGTTTTCATTTCTAGTGCAGTCAGAAGTCTCCTTCAGACCCTCCACCAGAAGTTGCCATTGAATTTTTCATTTTCTTTAACACTTACCTCTTATACTATTCAGACAACACTACTGTAGGTAAATTATCTAAAAATGTATCTATTAAGTGATAGTGGTTTTCCACTTTTGTTTAATTCTATTATTGGAATATAGTTTTTCTAGCCTTTCTCCTTGGTAGAAGAACATTGAGGGTTAACCAGGCTTGCCTTGGAAGCTGGCTACTGTTTATAACACAGTTGCAGTGGGAAAATGCGTTTTGAGCCCTGTAATCAACTCTCAGAAGACTTTGGGAACAAAACCCATCACGTACCTAAGAGCAGAGGCAATATAGTATTTATGTTGAGTAAGTAGAAATTTGGGAGAACCATAGAACCTTTGAATGGGAACTGAAAATCTTCCCCTGAGAGACGCTAAGACCAGAGAAAGGCAAAAACGTAGCCAAGAGCACAGAGTTGGGGACAGAAGATTCTGCCAGGTTTGGGGCATGGAAGGGATACAGATGGCCTTAGACAGCTCTCAGCAACCAACTGTGCTATGTCGTAAGCCACCACTTCGGGCTGTAATGGAAATAGAAACCAGTCCAGCGAATAGTGTGGGGAGAAGTTGTCTAGCTGGCTGTCTTGTCTAGAAATTCCTGGCGTGCTCTTGCTGGAGTGGAATGAATGTACTGCTGTGTGTTACCTGGAGCTTGGAGTGCGGTGGGACTTGTGGGGACGCTCCCTGCGGTCTGTTCTGAAAATAGCAGTGGGCCAGAGCTGAGGGGAAGAGGAGGGGGCTCCTTGGGGAGCTGGGTGGGGACGTCTCCCCCCTTCCTCTTCCTGCCAGACCCTATGTGAAGAAGTCCCACAGAGTCACAGAATCCAGATCTGGGAGGGTCTTGGAGGCCTCATCCACCCCTTCACACCAACCAGGAGACAGAGGAGGAAAGGACTGGCCAGCAGTCACTGGGCTGGAGCCGGTCCCATGAGGCAGCTATTTTCCTCCTGCTGTTTCAGAGGGCGGCCTCAGGCCTTGTGTAGACTTCTGTCATTGTCTCTGGGTGCAGAGTGCCTGGGAACTCCTGGGACCGGATGTGGTCGGGCTTCCTGA